TTAATTGTCACTGTCATTGACTTGGTGTCTCTGAGGGTGTCTGACCGCAGTTTGATATGTGGAAGCTTGTTAGGATCAATCAAGTTAAGTAACACATGCACAAGTTGGAACATGGATGGGTATTACAAGTTAATAATTATCAAGACCGTTATAGTTTAAACGACTTTAGATTAAATAAATCAGCGAAGTCAAGCAACGTCTGCAGACGTTTAGATGTCGATGGGTTTCCGGTGGGTAGATGGGGTTGTTTTGTCGCAGGCTTCAAATAAGCTAGATCCAGAACGTCTCTAACAAGAAAGTTCTTAATCGAGTAGGAATGTCAAAAAACCTTTTCCAGAACAACAACAATGGAGTTGCGTACCTGGGCGAAGTGGTTCGCCATTAATGCCCAAGTACCACCTCCTTCAATTAATTATAATAGGTAAAATCCGGGGTAAACGCTGTGTCGGTAGGAGGAAAAAAATAATAGCTTCGTAAGATTAGGGAGAGGATGGGTATTGTAGTATAAGATCCCCAAACGACCTTACCAGATGCTTATTTATGAAATTATTTTATATTTAATTTAATATGTCAATAAATATAATCCATATGGGTTGTCTAGCAAATTTCAGTCCAGAGTATGTTTAATTAATATTTAAAAAAAAAAAAGTTTTTATAATTTGCATGTAGTAAATTTTTTCAATCAATATTTTTAATCAGGGTAGTATTATATATTATCAATATAACCTTCTTTTATACTAAAGATGTATATATACTTTAGTGTCACATAAAAAATATACACATAAATAATTAATTGATTAAAAACAACCTAACGTTTGCATATTCTATGGGCTTTATACTTTCGATTGGTATAGAATTTATCTAATAATCATACCGGTGAAATGTTTAAAAATATATTTTTTTTAATTTAATTAAAATATTCTGACTAAATTTGCTAGGCAACCCATATGGATTATATTTATTGACATATTAAATTAAATATAAAATAAGTTTCATTAAATAAGCATCTCGGTGAAGGTCGTTGTATAGCGGGATCTTAGACCATTGCGGAAAAGTTGCTGCATGTGGCAGAAGAAACGCATCACGAGACTGAGCCAACCTCCAGTAATGGAGAGACACCAAAAGAAGAAGGGTTCCCGGTACGCTAGTAATTTAGATGGTTTTCAATTTTTTTTTTTTTTTTAGTTTACAAAAATGTTTCTCGGAATATGGGATCTTACAGAGAATAGATGAAATTTTTGCTAAAGTTTCATGGTATTGCTCTTATCTTCTTATAAATAATTGTCTCATTATTGAAGGTGCTAGAAATTTTATCTTAAACTTCACAGCAACGACCGTGCATGTTCCAGGGGATCCAGCGTTGTAGTCACGAGCTAAGCTCAAAACCTTAAGATGGATAAATTATGCTATGTTCCACCACCACCCTGTATATTAGGGTGCGACGAACCTACGGGACGCCCAAAAAGGGCAGTCATCGCAGCCCATGAACACCCATTTTTAGAGAGTGCGTTGCCGGCCTTTGACGGAGGAGTATAAACTCTTTCTTTAAAAAATTGGAACATCAGGGAAGACCCCTACCGGGAGTCGATTAGACAGTTCGCTATTTCGCAAAAGTAAGAGTCTGTGAACGGACCATGGAAGATTTCCACTCATCAATGAGATGCTGATGAAATTATGAATTAATACAGCTCATACGGTGTGAAACGAGACAGGTGGGATCAACCGAAGCAACTCTTCAGAACAGTCTTTATCTTTGTAGAATACCTACGCATAGAGACTATGAGTAGAGACATAATCAAGCCGATCAGTAAAACGTTGGAGGTTGAGAATTTGACAAGCCCTTCGCTGAAGTCAAAAGGATCTTCCTTTTGATTGCTGGTATTTTGGAGCACAGGCTATATTTCCAATTCCCACTTAGCACGCAGTTTGGGTGACAAGGAAAATTGTTGCGCTGAATCAAGAATCTTTGCTGCACTCAGTTTAAAATAATTCGACAAAAAATATCATACGGCTTTTAGGTTTTGATTACAAGAAAGCCTAATCAGACAAACGTAATAAAATGTGCATAAAAAGTTACAACCGGCAGGGTCGCCACGGATGGCAATATCCGTTTCCGCCTAACCCCTTTTTTCATTTTAATTCACAATTATAGATTTTCGCTCCGTTCATACGTCTTGTGAATGGAATATAAATTGTTTAAAACGGATAGGTGATGGGGTGGTCCCGGGATTTATGAGATTTATGTAAATGCAGTAGCTGGTTGTAAAATTAATAAAATTTAGAAAAACTTTGACGGAATCGCATCTGGCGATATTAGATTGTACTCTTTGTAAATAAAATTGATTTTGACAAACACGTTTGTCTTTGTTGCTTGGTACGGCCTAGAATTAGATTTATGAACACACAGATATGCCATTGGCAATATTTATTCATTATCTTACAAATTCGCATTTCATTGTGTTAAAGTATTTTATTATGTACAATTTTTAAGTAAAATACTTAGCCTTGATTTGACGGTCGTAAATACTCGTTATATAATTCGTTAAAACAATTCATAATTCACAATATTCCATTGAATGCTGTTCACGTTGAATAAAAATATTTGTATAATATTGGTCAAATACTGACAAGACATGCTAGCGCCATCTAGATACTTTCTGGGTAAACATTCATTATCAGTACAGAGAGTTTCATATTCCATCACTAGATGTCACTGCAACAGATAAATTAAAGAGTGTGTAAAAACTTTACAATTAAAGTTAGATGTTACATACTATACGGAGAGAACCGTTGTGAGATTTGCGTTAGTGCATCGTAGCAGCGCTAAATTATATTTTTTAATGTGGATAACATAAAAAAATTTAAAGTATGATATTATTTTAAATCTTTTCTGAATATATGAATTCACTACGCAATAATAATAATTATTATTGAAGTGAAACTTCTTTATCGAGGTTGGAAAAACATTTAGTATAACATTTTTTCGTTACGCGTCACATTTTTCGGTTACGCGCCATGTTGCTTTTTGAAGTCAAACTTCTTTATCGGCGTTGGAATGAAACTTCTTTATCGACGTATGGGAGAAATTTTGTAACAAATCGTCACGTTTTTCAATGATAGTAATAATTCTATTACAATTAATGAAATTCTATAATAATCTTCGTAGTAATAAGGTAAAATGAAATATTTGCATTCATGTCTATGATAATAAAAGCCTTTTGTTAAACTTTATCTAATTTAACGAATTTCTGTAAAGTTGCATATAGTAGATCATTTTTCGAAAAATAAGATCATAAAGAAGTTTCACTACTTACGTGTGTACACCTAGTACACGCACAATTTATTTTTTTATTTATTCAATAATTACTACGCCAATTCTCGTAGACTTAAGTACATTTTTGGCTTTTTACTTTTTGGTCTATAAAGAACATCAAAACACCAGTCTTACTAGAAACAACAATTTCCATAATAATACGGTATTTTGTAACGAGGATAACACAAAACGTTGCCTTTTAAAAGCTTGGTCTATATCGATGAAAAATTATTTCATGATATTATCATTTCTGCAAGGTTATAGAAAAATACTTTTAGATTTTAGGGGAATTAATAATAAAAATAAAAAACACAATAAAATTCAAATTTTATTTTTAAATTTGTATAACTTATTATAACATTAAAATGCATTTCTTAACACGTTTAATATAAATATATTTTTGAATTTATTCTGCACCAGTATTTCATGTGGGTTTCATGTCATATATGGTGTATTTTTTTTAAAGGAATGAAGGACTAAATCCCTATACATTAAGTACTCCATGACAATACCAATAAACTTGTCAATTTGGTCACTGTCAAAAAATTTGATGTTTGGATGACGTATTAAATACTTGTCAATAGTATATTTTTCTAAACAAATCATAATTTTTTAATACTTTCTATAGAAAAATAAACTTGCTGAGTCCGCTTATAAAACGAAATTTGTGACACCTTAAAATAAAGCAACAAATTAATATATGCAGTGGATTATTAATATTTTATTTAAATTAAGTATGGCTCCATATTACTAAAATTTTGTGTATATCCTACTAAGCGAAGTATGTGCCAAACTTTGTCTAACAAAACATATAAACATACATCACCATACAAAACGCGGACTAAAAGTACTGTTCGTTGCCATGGTTACGAATTTATTACCATATAAAAATGGAAAGTACCAAGCTGGATATTAGTCCACACTTTATAAAGACGTGTTAAATTTTATTGGATAATCGAATATCACATAAAATTTCTTACATCTAATTTCCTTTTTATTTATATAATTTAATAACTTATTATACAATAAAATATAAACTGTATACTCAAGTATAATTAAGTAACTGTATCACGGTATTTTAAAAATTACTTATACTATAAACACTGTTTAAGTTAAGACAGAAGAAACAATCAATTTGGGGTTTCTAAGTTGATTAAAACACAATTATCTCGAAAAAACTGGAATAGTACTGTTTTGGATGTGTATACACAAATTATTATCAATTATGAAAATCTGTACCAAAATCATAAAATTCTAGGACAAGGATGATGCAATTTTATACCCAAATCTTCAGATTGTCCCCAAATTCATACAATTTTGTACCCAAGTCGACAGATTTTCCCCAAATTCATACAATTTTGTACCCAAGACGTCAGATTGTGCCCAAATTTCTATAAAATTGTGCCAAGTCCTAATATTTTAGGGTTAGTTTACAATTCTAGATGCAAGCCGTAAATTTAAGAGCCTGATTTATGTATATTTTTAATTACAATTCAAGCAAAAAAGATCCTAAGGAGAGTAGAGACTTAGCGTTAAGTGTGACTCCCATATCTCAAAAAAATATTGTTTAAAATACGGGTCATACTTTGCGCTCGACTCTTGATGTCACTCTGAGACTGTATATAATGTGTATAGTTATGTACTAATTAATATATTAAATTTAAGTATTTTCGGGAATTAATTTTGTCTATTGTTTTCCTACAGTGGCCTTACAAACATATCCTTTAAGGGCAAGTACACCCCTACACTTTATGTGAACCTGGTACCTCGCGCACCAATCCAGGTTGTTGCAACCGATACCTGCGTCTGAGAGGGTCTTAAGTGCTGCTACGGATAATAAATCTGGAATAAATAAAATAAAATTATATATAATTCTTATAAATATTTTTTGTGCTTGTAATATTTTCAACTTTAGTATTGAAGAACCACTTAGGAAATAATCTTTCCAATTCTTCGCGATTAAAACGGATTAAACAGTACTTATCCGGAGCTGGATATATTGGGGCTAATCAGTTTTAAAGAAGGTATTTTTTTTTGCTTAACAAAAACTTTTTAAAGTTTTTACTGTTTTTTTTCACCACAGTATTTATATATACATATATGTTAAACCATCTTTGCGTGCGTTTGAAATTAATCTCCTCCTAAACGGCTGGACCGATTTTGATGAAATCTTGTGTGCCTTCAAGTGGATTCGAGAATGGTTTAGATTTACATTTAGATTCTTTAGTTAATTATAATATAGGTCCGTATGAGAACGTCACGGGAACTTAAATTAAGTTTCAAGAGCTGTAGCATTCTTTACAAAACTTGCTGAATTTCTTGCCCGTTCTTCTCAGAACAAGGCCTCCTGGTAGTTTTGCGAACGGATGGCGTAGTCTTGCTCTTTCGTGAATTTCGTAAACGTTGTTGACATTCATAAGCATGCTCTAAGAAGCATCTAAATTGAATAAACGTATTTTGATTTGATTTGATTTTATTTAAAAGTTGAGACATATTTCACTGCTCAAGCGGGGTCTCTGACTTGAGTTGCCAATTGGAAGATAAATAAGGATAAAAGAAAAAAACCCACACAGAGCTGTGCTTACCTGCAGGGTCAGCGTGAGTTAAGAGCTGAACATCATTAGCCTTGCAGAATGTATGAAGACTGGGCGGCACCACGCAGCACGAGGCGAGGTTGATCTGGGCTATCGTGGGCTTCACAACAGCCCACGCGTGCAGTTTGTACAGACATCCACCGCCCACGTCTGCCACGCCTAGTTGAAGGACACGGCCTGAAAACATGATTAAAAAACTTCTTTATATATATGTAAAGTAAATTGTAAAATTGTTTCACTATTTTATGGCGAGGAGGCCGATGGCTGGCCATGCGTCATACTCGTGAACGGGTGCTACTTGTGGTGACTGGTCGGACTTGAATTCGTGTATGCGGTGATAGTAGTTATTTTGAATATGTATTTGCGTGTTGTTCCCACGAGAATATAAGTGCGTGCTCCTATTTCACCATGCCTCCTGCTGATAGAGGACAAGTCTTTGTTTTTAATTTATGTAATTATAATTAATTACTTAAGATGTCACGTGGAACATGGTAAAATGGTTGCAACTCATAACAAACATTGTGTAAAACAAAACACTTGGCGATTAAAGAGTCGCGGAGAGTTTATTGCCAGTTCTTCTCTTCTGTTCTACGCCCTTGATTTGAGAACTGGCAGAAAATGTAAAATTAGAAGCATTTAATATGTATTTCTTTACGAAGTTCATACGAGTACATTGTGTGACCTATATGGATAAATGATTTTGATTTGATTTGACTTCACATTAGTATTTTTGATATACCCGGTAACCAGTGTCCAGGACATATACATTAGTGGGTGCGGCAGCTGCCTTTTATGGCTGTTCCAAAGGCTTATTTGCCATACTATCATATTAAAATTGAGACTCAGACTGTGAAGGAAGAATGTATACTGTTTCTCCAACCTAAAGTAGTGCTTTCAAGGGGAAGATGATTAAATTTTAAAGGCAAGGTGCCATTATAGCGTGGGCGAGTATTTACACCATAAAGTTGACAATAATTATAAATAACTAATTATTATGACATTATGTTAATGTTCTTATTATATTATGACATTATTCAAATTAATATGACATTTGCATGCCTATTTTTATATGACTGACCTAATCGATTAAACATAAATTCTCTGAAACGTCAAAATGTATAAATTCGCCTTTATCGCCGTTAAAATTAAATATTTTTTTTTAAAACATACCATTTTTAACATAGTCTTCCAGTACAGCCCATAACGTCTTGATGCCAGGCAAGATGGCCTCGCATTTTCTTGCATCTGCGTCGCTGTCAGCTTCTATTTCAGTACTGGAATTGCGAACTGAAATTATAAAAAAAAATCATTTTATACTATTTGCATTTCATAAAAAATGTCGAGTACCGCCGTAAGGCCCTTTCGCCACTGCTCCGGTCCGGAATCGGATACCGGAATGAGTCATGATAAAAATATCGGAAGGCCGGATAGCGCTTCTCCACTATATCCGATCCGACAATAATCGATACTTGTATCATGCAACACTTATATTAACTAAAACCCACATACTTTATTTTATTAATAAAACATTCTAAATCCTGAATATTTTATTGCGCTGGCAAGTTTATTACTTTTTTATATTGTCTATCTTAAAATATTATAATCTACTTAATCAACCATTCACTAATACTTTGGTATAAAAATATAAATAAATAGCAATATAATTTGGTTTGGTCCAGGTTATCCAGATTCTTTCAAGTTAAAGAAACTATAAATAAACCTGTGAATAATAATTTATTACCTCTTGGATACTTGGACTGATAAAACACCGCGTTCCGATCTAGCAAGTTATCGGATCGTTAAAAACCGGATGCCGGAGCAGTGGAGAAACGTATTTCCGTTTTCTTTTGTACTGCATTTTGAATCGTAATTCATGGACATAATGATTAGATTTTAGATTTTAGTTTAATTTTAGATTGTTTGGTAATTGTCTATGTTTCAGTGTTGTTGTTTTTGATGATACACATTACTCTCAGTATTTTTCCTTACTAGTTGCCTATTATAGATCGCTTGTTAGTGATAGCCGCCCGTTACATCCCTAATATGTTACTTGTTTTTTATTTATTAAAAAAACCTAACAATTATAGGTTACTAGCTACTACTAACTAAAAGACCGGGAGATAGTGAGTGACACAAAATATTGGGTCATTTGTACCAGTATGGCGGTTCTTCAGGGGTTTTATTACGCAATTAAAAAAAGAAAAAGATGGTCACAGCGCTGGGCTGGCGTGGGCGTTAGTCGAACTCGTCGGATTAATTACGAGTGTCAAACGATTGATTCCACAAAAATTATATTATTATCCGATAGCCCATAAAAAATATTAGAGGCGGTAGTGTCATGCCATACTTTTCCGGTGTGACTTACAGCCCGCCATACTGACGCGAATGTGTTAATTTAAAAAAAAATCAACCATTAATCATCGTCATGCAGCCCATTTACGGATATCACGATGCCATACTTTTCGGACGGTTCCAAAAGGCCGCCATACCGCCGAAAAATTAGCAAATTTTTTTTGCCACTATCTAATACAATGTGTCACTATCTCCCGGTCTATAATGCAATAGAATTCAGCCCGGAACCTTTGATTTTGGTCAATATAACCGGTATGTTATTTCTAAAAGATGTTGTCGTAAACAGTTTTGACTGTAATTGACAATTGTATTGATCTTGATTTGGTTACGAGTTAACACTTTAATATTAGATCGAATATTTCTATTTATATTAGTTTATCTTCGATTCACGAAACGATGACTATGTAATAAAATAAAAATCTAATATATAAAATTCTCGTGTCGCGGTGTTTGTAGTTAAACTCCTCCGAAACGGCTTGACCGATTCTCATGAAATTTTGTGTGCATATTGGGTATAACTGAGAATCGGACAAAATCTATTTTTCATCCCCCTAAATGTTAAGGGTAGTCCACCACAATTTTTTTTTTTTTAATTTTTAGATAAATTTTTATTTTTTTATGATACAGCATTAAAAAATACATACAACCCCTAATTTTTACCCCTCTACGATCAACCCCTATTTTTTATAATAAATGATATACATGGCAAAACTACGTTTGCCGGATCAGCTAGTAATAATATAAACCTGTAGTAAGCCTGAATGCCAATATTCTATATAATATAATCATTGTATGATTGTTAATCACATCATAAAGTGATCAAAGATCAGGCAAGATATATGCAATAAAAATCATAATGATAAATTGAAACTACGATGACTAGATAAATTTTTTGTATGACTTGCGTTTTGTTCGACAAGTATTTCAAGGATTCAAATACAATATTTTATTTAAATACATTTTTAACTGGCTACTACGAACCTGTCCGAAGTCAATTCTGTGTTATAAAAATATATATATATATTCCTAAAATAGGTATTTAGAGGTATGATTTAACAGTGTTTAAATAATCAAATTGAATTGGCACATTTTTGCGTCAGATTAAATTCATTTTAAAGTTTCATAAGGACGTTCCGTCCTTGGTTTGGGTTGTATGTATTTTTGTATGCTGTATCATAAAGAAAATAATAACACAATTTTGACTAAAAAATTAATTTTAAGGATGGATGACCCTTAACATTAAGGGGTTTAGATATAGGTATAGTATAGATTCGGACTAAATATGCATAAAAAATTTCGTCGAGCCGTTTCGGAGGAGTATGGGAACGAACATTGTGACACGAGAATTTTATATATTAGATTAACATTTTTTTATTTAATTACTCACACATAGTCAAGATAATTTACTATAATTATTTCAATAGTTTTAATAACTTACCAACAGTGCTTCCCAGGGATATAGGCGATGCCTTCGTGAAGGTGGTCTTGACATTATCATCACGTTCCCCCTTGTGGAGGTGATCAGGATTGTATGAAAGGATAACATTCTCAATGAACTCGGTTTGAAGGGCTGTGAATACTGAAAAAATACATAAAGCCTATGTTTTAAGGTTGCTTTAGGAGAATTAAGTTATATGATGTGAATAGATACGTTTCAAGAAGTTGCCAATGCTTTGGGTTTTAGCTAGTTCAAGTATTACGTAAGCAGATTTACTGCCATATATCCCCCCTTCCTCTTGTCAGAAAAAGTAAGCTAAACTCTCAAAAATAATAGTACATAAACGTATGAATTTTTTGTAGGAATCCCCGAAAATGCATTTCGTTTTCAAGCATTGACAATGTGTAAAGGCCGATTTACATTATCTTAGTGTTTAGGAGAGTACTTTAGGATAGTACTTTAGTTGAAACATGTAAACGCTACTTGCTTTAGTACGGTTCTACTTGACTTTCAAGTTGAATCAAAATAGAATCGCTTTTTATTTTTGTTTCAAGTGATACCCCTCCCGCGCCCGCGCAACCCCCGAGATCTTCCCTCGTTGTGTGTAAAGTGTAAACACGTAATTTAGTACAATCTTTAGGAGAGTGCACAAGTGCCGTGAAACGCGTGCGTGTTTTTTGATTTTTAAAGATGGCTAAATGGTCGGAAGATACAACTATCAAATTTGTGTCTGAATATATTGTTCACGAATGTTTGTGGAACGTTAAAAACAATTTATACAAAAACAAACAGGCTAGGCATTCGGCATACACTGCCTTAAAAGAAGCTATTTTATTTATTATTTATATTTAGTTTATTTATATCGAATAAAATCTTCTATTTGTTCCATAACTACAGTTAGTATTTTGCGTAGAATAGAGCGTATTTGCCGACGTCGTTGCGCGTTCATTGTGGCGCTGTAATGATACTCTACCGGAAGAAATGTAAACGTTCACTCGCAACGCACTAAAGCACTAAAGAACTTGCCTTTCAACTTGTACTAAAATACTCTCCTAAACACTAAGATAATGTAAATCGCCCCTAAGAAAGTAGATAATTACCGTTCACGTAATCACCAAATAAGAAAATCAAAGACCATCCCCCTATAGTGCTTACTTAATACTTGAACGACCCCTAACTATAACAGACATTTTCCACCTGATCAAAAGCGTGAGGAATTTTTTTTAGAATCGGGAAGAATTTAGTTTTTCCTTTAAAATGATAAGTTGTCATTTGTTTATTGTGTCATTTCAGTTTTTTTTTTCTATTAATGTACTTATTTAGCGAGACACTTGAGTTTGACGTAAGCAAGTTTGAATTAAATATGTTCTATTTTCAGCCTTAGTATTGCGCAGGGTGCTGTAGGACTTAACGCTAGCGTTTGACACGGTCACTCATAGAAACAATTGAAATAGAAACAAACTGCATTTTGCGGCAAGCGTGCGGACAACTTTAGTTGAATATTTTATATCGTCACGCTATTTAACTCTGAAAGACTTTCCGATTTCGGTAAAACAAATATCCAATAAGATTTTATAATTAAATATAATATAATTAAAATTATATAATTAAATATAATATAATTAAATATAATATAATTAAACAGGGTCGGATTAGGTACAATTGTATTTTAATTATGTAAGAAAAAACTCGCGTATTTGTATTTTGAAATAATTGTTGTCTGTTAAAGAATGGTTATCATTTTCAATCGTTCTACACGCTCAATCAAGATTGCAAAAATCTATGAGGAAGGATAATTAAAAGAGTTTATGTCTATTATTTGATAACTAAGTTTTAAGGACATTTATTTCATCAAAATATTAACTATATATTTGTATGAAACATGTGTTTGATACGAGATATTGTTTTTGTTTCTAGAAAAAATCAATAATTATTTATATTATCACGCCTTTTGCCTGAAGGGGTAGGCAGAAAGTAGAAACCACGGATCTCCACTACGGTCTCTCGCTTCATCCACTTTCATGACATTCTATAGTACCTCATGGTTTGGTCACCACCCACGGTTAGATTGTGTATCCTACTTCTTAACCGCTTCTTCTGTTCCACATGGCCAAACCACCTAAGCATTCCCTTTCATATCCGTGTCATTACGTCCTCTTTTAACACACACTGCTCAGTATGACTTGTTCTCTCACGAATATACAACAAAAATCAGATCCTACTTTCCGATATTAGACAGTTTTTTTACTGAATAGTCCTGCATAGGTTGGAAGGCAGAAATAAACCCAGGCTGGGGTAACGCTATTAAGACATTTTCCGCATTTAATCATAATCTCAAATCTAATAAACATTTACGTAGAATAATATTGGCAAGGACAACTTCAACGCTTTGTTGAGTCATGATTTGTCAACATTTCCTACTCTTCAGTTTCTTAAACTAGTCATAGATATGTTACGATAAGATTATCGTGAATATTTTTGTTATTAAATTAATTACGAATAAATTCGGTTAAATAATGTATCAGATATATTAACTACATGGTCTAATCGTCCCTGGAGAATGATAACCTCGTATGTCAAAAAAGCATTTATTTTTTATTCTTAGGGTCTGTTTCACAATGTACGGATAAGTTCTACATAAGTTCCAAATTAGCCATTTATTACTTATTGGTAGGATAAACACTATTGTTGCGTAACACGACTGTCAGATAGCGCTATTGGTCACATAAAGTCCATCATAAGCTATGAGTCTGATGGATGTCAAATAGCACAATTTATCTTACAAATAATTTATGTGATGCATAGCTATTTGGTACTTTATCCATACATTGTGAAACAGACCCTTAGACTCATGTAATTTAAATGGTATAATCATGAAGTAAGGACTTATTTATGTTATTAATAAATAACTCCTTTTAACCAAAACACATAATAATGTTTTAACGAACGTTAAGGTGGAATTATATGGTTAACAATATTTGTATAAACTCTTTTGCAAAAACACGGACATCTTCCGTTTTACGTTCTAAGGCGATTTAGTTAATTAAATGAAATTTAATTGTCTGTCGTAGGCTGTATACGTATAGTAGTATACTTAATACGCGGAAAGTGAATTACGGATTTTTTTTTTTTTTTAAATTTTTGATGAATTCTTTAAAACCGAAGTGGTCGGCTTTGAGTGGAACATAAAGACGAGCAGATATTTTACTTTTTTTAATTAAATAAAGTTACAAATGTAATACTTAGAGCGATTGTGATCTTCTGTTGCCAAAATCACACCTTAAATCCGTCAAGTCATGCTTTCGACGATGTTTTAAATAACGTTATGAGTAATACGCTAATAACTATTGATTGAGATATTGGCAGCCAAAAAAAAGAAAGATTCCACTACTAGTATATATTTGAACATACATATTTGTATTCCTTCATTTCTAATAAAGGGTCGCTGTTAGAACAGTTACATTATATATAAAATAATACCAGTGACTACAACCTTTTAGATTTTTGTATCTGCTTCGGGATTGTTTATTTAGTCCAATAGTAAATATCCCTTTTCTGCCTGACACACGCTGTCGATTGTTTGGGTATTCTGCCGGTTTCCTCACGATGTTTTCCTTCATCGTACGAGCATGTGCTAAATGCGGGAATCAAACTTACGACCTCAGAGATCGTCTTCTGATCGTCGTTCGAAAAATTTGAAAATATTACATATATGTACTATCTGGGATGTTAATGGTAATATTTGTTTAAAGTTTAACGTTGATTTGTTGATAGTAATAATTTGCTGACTATAAAACTTCTGAACAATCCATGACAATCTTTATTGATAAAAATATAAAATTTATAAAAAATCACAGATACGAAAAAATCTTAATCAATTCTGATAATCTTCAAATATTAAATATGTACTTAAGTAGTTATTAAAGATTAACCTAAAAATCATAACTGTTATACTGCGATAAGTGAGATATTTATAAACATTTGATTATTTAAATTTCGTTTCAATATTATTTGTACTATTCATAGTAACGTCGATAAATTCGATTATCTCTGACATCTTTAAAAAACTCGTACACAAACATAACAATTATGTTTTATCGTGATTCCCTACATAGATCCTTGATCAGTGGCTTAACAATAGTGTGGCAGGGCTGGTAAAATGCCATGGGCGCCCGACCCAAGAGATATTATGTTCCATGGATGAATGTGAAGTCTCCAATACGCATTGGGCTAGCGTGGGGACTACAGATCATTCCCTCTCGCCTAAGAGAGGAGGCCTATGGCCATTAGTGGGACATATACAACGTGTATACGTAGGTAATTGAGTACGCTGAAAATCTCGAAGTTTATTAAAATTAAACTGAGTGAAGATTTTTACTGATAGGGCCCCATCAAAAGAAGATTTGCCACGGGCCCCAGATGGTATAGTTACGCCACTGTCCTTGATACTGGGAGTACTAAAATATAGGCTAGGGAGCGTTCAAGTATTACGTAACGCAATTTTTGGAGATTATTGACCCCCCCATGTAACTCGCCGTAACGTTTTTCAGTACCCAAGTACAGTACTGTACTCGAGTATAGTAAAACGTTTCGTGACCACCTAGTGACTCTTTAGTTACTATTATGTGGTGTAAGTCGACAATAATATTAACAATAACGCGTAATTCAATCCCCGCCACGCATCGTAACGTTTTACAAAACTTGTTGTTGGCTTCAGGGTGCGACTCACATCTTTGAGGTCGTAGGTTCGTTCCCCGGCCGACCAATGGACTCATGTGCGCATTTAACATTTGATCGAACGGTGAAGGAAAACATCGTGAGGAAACCGGCACGCCTTTGACACATAGTCGACGGCGTGTGTCAGGCACAGAAGCTTGATGAATTGACAAATGTTCATGAAACATATACAGAAATCAGTAGCCCAGACCTAAAAAGGTTGTAGCGCCTTTTCTTATAGTAAAGTCTGTTTACAAAATTATTATCGTAAATATATAATGCTCATTGCGTAGTAGGTTATATATTTTAATATTGACTCTAGTATATTTTTTTAAACAATTGAGACCAACGCGAGCGCTAGCTCACTTATTCACCCAAGGTCAACGCTATACGTGCTCATTTCTAGTATTTTTTAACACCACCGTAGTTTGAAAATGGTTTGTATTTATCCCACATATCAACCACTTTAAATCTTTTTCTTTTGTAAAAACCTCTCTTAAAGGAAGAGGACTCTTATTATATTTACCGTCACTTTCACTTAGTGAATTCTACATGTATTTATTTGTTTTTAAAACAAATGTAAAATTAATAAATCAATTATAATTTGTCCACTTTTACCATATCAATCAACTATGACCTTAGATTAGTATTTAAAGATTTCATTTTTTGACAAATGACCATGAAACAGATACAAAAGTCTCAGGCATAGACTTAAAAAGGTTGAAGGGCCACTGATTTATTTTTAAAGATTTTATTTAAGTTGTAATCTAGTCTTGAGTGATGTCAAAAATGTTTAAGACTATTTGTTATGATAGATATTAAAATTATTTGGTTAAAAGGTTTAAAAATCTAAGTTCAGACTCAAAATTCAGGTATACTGAAAAGTCAAGCTGTCCACCATACCAAAAGCCAGCCTATTTCTCCATCACTTTTTTAGTATCATTTTTCTACTTTAATTAAATCTACAACATAATTTCTCCTTTTAAATGTAGTTAAAACTCACCATTTTCCAGACATTCACACAGTGCAGTTGGGCTATCTTCATTGATGAAAATCTTCACTCCTATCTTTAGATTCTTGCGATCCTCCTCAGCCATCTTGATTTGGACATCATCATGTGGCCTGGTGATGTTGACAACAGCTTCAGAGGCTTTTGAGGTAGACACCACCATGTAATGCTGTGAGGGTTCTGTTGATCCATTCTGTATGGGCAGGCCGTTTTGTGTACCCCACTCCGAGAGTGTTAGTTTTATACTTTCTGACAGCTAAAAAAATTGAACATAGTTGAAATTTGAGAGTTTGATTTAAATATTGATAATTTAGTAATGGCAAACATGTGATTAGCCTTCCATATCCAACCACAAATAACAATTCAAATAATTGATAAGTAATTTTGCCTCTTCCTTGAACTTGTAAATTATAAGTACTTAATAATGCTATATGTATACATGAGTATGTTGTGTTTGGTTGTTGTTACAAGTTATAATCATTCTCAGTATCATTAAGTTTACAGTTTTAACCTGAATATGTTATGATTTACGCACATTCATTTGATAAACAATGTACAGTTGGTGTTGGTCAGGGCAAGCTTTAAATGTTAGAGAAATTAGTATGTACGGTTTACTAGTACCACTCATATAAAATTGAATAAATCATTAAATGCTATTAAGATGCTTAAGAGAGTAGCTGAACTCTCAACATCCCCGACAATTTAGGTAATTACACCACTGAATAAACTAAGGAAGCCTGAGCCTGTATTTTATTAAAAAATAAGCCAACTCAGCAATTGGTTTATTGCTACCAGCCAAGATTTTCAGGAAGTTGAGCACAAAAATTAAGAACAATTGTATGAAGAGTTATTTAAAGGGTACAACTTAAGTCTTCACATTGAACATTAAAAAAAAGACTGTTGGGTCAATGTAACAATTAATAATGTTTCCTAGATGATGATAAATGCAACTATTTGTAACTATTGTTCAAGGGGTGTGGGGTCATTGGACATGTAATAAGAAGTATATTTTATTTATTTTTACAATATTTTTGAATATAGAATACTCCTTGAGATTATCTGGAATAACATGTCTGAAACAGATATGGTTATTTATTTATATTATGTGCTATAAAGTAGTCATAGCAATTTCATGTAGGTCAAAGGGCAGTGTTTTATTTGAAAGCTCCTGATTTTTTAGGAGAGGATGTGTTAATCTTATGATAATAAAGTATAGCCCTATTTGTTAAAAGTCAATCTTATTATAATATAGTGGAGGGATAAAGTAAAGTTATTTAAATGTTTCTATAATGAACATTTAAATAACTTACTTTTGTTTCGTATTTGCATAAGAAACAAAAGTAAAATAATTTCTCTCTATCATATAGTGTAGGTTGAAATATGTATTTTGTTATAATTAAGACTAAAAAATGCATAGCAACACAAAAGTAATCATAAAAACTGTATTTGCTGAGTCATATTTGCTAACTAATTTTGACTTACCTACACCAGTAACTTGCAAAATAAGTAACTTCTAAGTCACATTTGTACCCTATTGAAATTACCTCTTCATGTTTAATTAAGTTAAGTTAAAAATTAAATATAGATATTTGAAAAAAAATAGGTAATCAAGTAATTATAAAAATTAACATCTACTAAGTAAAATCCTGAAATGGGTGCTTTGCACCATGATACATTAGATAAAATATTATATGCCTAAGGTTAAGAAGAAGAGAAGTAATCTTAATATTAAGCACAAAGAAGACGAAAAGCAGATATTCGAGAAATAACTAATGCAATTGATGCTGTTGAATTGCCATGTAGGCTAAAACGGATGGACCAGACATGTCGCAAGAACTTAAGACAATCAGTGGAGTCAACGAGTCCTACATTGGCATCCACGCGACGGGACCCTCGAGGACGCCCGCGTCGGCGTTGGTCCGTCGACCTGGTGCAGCTGGCCGACGGCACATGGACCCCACCAACCCAAGAAAGAGAACTTTGGAAGGGTTTGGAGGAGGCCTATGTCCTATCATGGGATTCCTATACTTAAAAACTAGAGTTAAGAATTTGTATAATAATTATTTAATTGTAACATTACTGCAATAAAAGACTTTATTATTATTACACTGAACAAATCTATTAGTAAATACTAAAAACTAACCTCTTCAGTCACATTCTGTCCAGCTTTTTTCTTGATGTCAATTAAATTCAACACATTACCAGTGTTTATAGTAACTTTAGACGCACTTTTTAACATCTTTACCGATTTGAAGTTATGTGGGAATGTCTAGCCAAAGTTTCTTAACAAGCAGCGACCACCGCATACAGTATACACTGATAAACTGAAATATTCGCTGTCGTTCCACTCTATATAGTAGTATTTTTATTTAACAAAACCATAGAAATTTGACCAATGAATTATCAGTCATCAGCTGTTAGACTAAGCATGACGCAGTTATCAGTATTGTTACGAAATAGTGACTTGTATAATATTGTTACATACTTTGCTGTTAACTGATTTTACTATTATATAAATAGACGTTTGATTTTCTACATAGTTAAGTGAAAATAAAATACTGAAAAATTTTTAACGGCAAATTAGTCATCTGCAGATTTTAAAATTTTCTTATTGACAAACAGGCGGCTGGCAGATTTTTAACATAGAGCAGTATCACAGATATCTTATTAATTACGGACTAGAGAAGATTATTAGTCGGCTTAAGATAGTAACAACTAACAGATATTGTGGTCGTCAGCATACAAGCCAATAGATTACCAGATTAGATACTTAGATCATAGAACTCGTACGATCCAACAACTTTATTGTTTTTTAATCTTAAAAAATGTGAACGCTATGCAAATATTGGAGTTTAGACACAATGTAGTATTATTAACATTTAAACGGTTCATCAATGTATGAGAAGAAATTTTGGTTTGAGTGAAACATTCAATTCTATACGAAAAAAGATGGTATTATTTAAAAAACTTTGTCAACAATTTTATTAAGATATTTTAATCTTTTAGAGGTAGTTTAAATTTAAAAATTATACTCCAAAGTGTCGGTGCTAATTTCCACTTATCCTTTCGAATACTCTTTGAAACGTCTTCTATCGTTGTGCTTTCTATTTTTCGCTCATCTCTTTGATAAACCTTTAATTATCGTTTTTAAGAAATGGTGAGGACCCATGTTTATCAGCCATGTTCTTCCTCGCAGAACCTATTAATAATATAGAAATGTTACCTTAAAATAAAATTTGTATTATGTTTCCTAAGACGTCCGAGGTCCATTATGAGAGTACATCGTTCCCGTTTCTGCCCAAATCGCTAGTATCCGACCCTTATTTCCCTCCACGCGCCACCGCCGCCAGCGCCCAGCGGTTGAAACTGGAACTAACTTTTACCGCGCTAAAGCAAGCCGCCATAATTCTTGTTCATTGTTTGTCTCATAATAAGAGAACCAGGAAGAGCTTGTTTGGACCTCGGACGTCTTAGGAAACATAATACAAATTTTATTTTAAGGTAAAATTTCTATATTATGTGTTCCGTTTGACGTCCGAGGTCCATTATGAGAGACGTGTTTGTTATCTCCTGGCGGCTTGAAAGTTATTATATAAATAAAAACGCAACAATGTGATTTAAAATATTTATTTACAATAGAATCATGATGAAATAAACAATGAAATAAAAAACCTGGCTAATCATTAAGCGGCCGAAAGTACTGAGCAAGAGACTTTTCTGAGTGAGTCTCAGCATTCTGACTATTATTATCTAGATTTCGACAGTAAAATTTTTTAAATGTACTTTCGTGACGCCAATTTGCCTTAGCAAGAATTTCATTTATGGGATATCTTTCTAAAAAATTTAGCGAAGCAACAGCTGATCTACAACTACCTGGCGATGCTTCGATACCTGATTCCAAAAGAGTTTTCTTAACCCAACCCCCAATAATTGTGGGTGTAGCTGGTCTTACAGGATCTCTGGTTGTAATAAACAAGTTTGTCAAGGAGCCTCGCCTATTATTAGAGACAGTTATGAGTGTCCTAAGCTAAAATAAGGGATTTAGATGCTTATCCGGGCAAGACAAAAACGTCCAACTTGACTGTCTATACGTTCCTGTATCCGTTTTAGAACCGAAAACCGGATGCAAAGTGATGGAATCACCGTTATCAATAAAATGCTGAGGGTCGCAATGCAAGAGAGTCAAATCATGAACTCTGCGCCCAGAAGCCAATAAAATTATTGTGGCTGTGCGTTTCGAGATATGAAATAAATTTTGCTCATCCAGTTTTAGGCTTTTCAAATAAGTTATAACTATCCTCGCATCCCATACTGGCAATTTCTGCGCGATTGGTCTAGCTATAGATATCGCTTTAAGGATATGTTTTACTAATTTATTAGATGAAATTTTAACATCGCTTAGAGTCTCACAAATTGATGCTATGACAGATTTGTGAACTAAAATAGATCTATATGCCAGATGATCATTTATAAATAGTTTTGCTAAGTATCTAGCTACATCAGGAGGAGCCGGGAATAGACAGTTTATATTATTTTGTTGACACCAATTTACCCATTTATACCAAATAGGGGCATATGTTTTCCTTGTGGAAGCTCTCCAACACGACGAAAGGAGTTGTTTTTCGTCTCGTGTCCAGTTGTTTGTTAAAGATTCCCAGCCAAAATCAGCCACGCTTCCAATTGTAATTTCTGTACTTGAGGAGGAGGTTGACCCGTTACGGTATTTACCAGGGTTTTGCTTAGATTCCGTATTGGTAGTGAGGGTGCAAGTGCTCGGCCTTTCAAATCCGGCCGCCAAAAAGGCTTCCTCCACCTGGGTGCTATTATTATGAACTTCCCTTGGGATAAGTTGAGATGGTGCAGCACTCGTGGTAGAAGCGCTGGCGGTGGAAATATCCACGCTAGATCGTATCGCCAGCATTTGCTGAAAGCGTCGTGAAAGCAAGCGTTTGAGTCTAATAAGTCTAGCGACACATAACTTGCCACGACATGAGCCTCTCGTGAAGCGAAAAGATCTATTTCGGGGGTTCCCCATCGTCTGAATATGTCCGTGGTTGCCTCTTTCAAGAGATGCCATTCGGCGCCCCTGCGATTGCGCGAGAGGTAATCGGCTTCCACGTTGTACATTCCCGGCAAGTGGTGAGGGATAAGTACAATATTCAAACTGTCCGTCAGTGCCAGAAGATCTTTTGTCAATTTTAACAGCATTTGGGACCTTGTTCCTCCTTCGTTTTTTATGTATGATACAACAGTTTTGCTGTCGCTTTGCAGAATTACCATCGAGTTCTTTAGGACTTCGGATGTCAAAGAGACTCCATGCCACTCCATCTGACTTTGAGTCCAAGAACCTTTCAGAGGTTTGTTGTTGACTAGCGCTCCCCATTGTAGATCCGAGGCATCGGTGACAATGTAATTCACCTGCCTTGTTTCGAAATGAATCGGTGTCTTGTGACTGAGGTTGTGTAACCACCATACCATGTCTTGATTCACCTCCTCTGCAAGAGGACTCGGGCAACGAGGAAATCTCCTTAATGCATTGCTGTGTCGCTGCAGCGTTCGGCAATGCAACCTTCCCCGGTGGGTGATGAAGGTCGCAAAATTGAGATACCCTAAGAGGCGTTGGGCCTGCTTGAGGGTCCAATTGCCGGCTGACAAGCGTGTTATCAGGCACTGACGAATTTTGATTACTTTTTCTACGGGTAAGGACTTTGCATTTGATAGTGTGTCCCACGTGATACCCAGAAAATCGATCGACCTCGTTGGAGTGCATATCGACTTCTCTAGATTTATGGTCCAGCCCAGGTTCTTCAAAAAGGTCATGGCTATGAGAACCTGGGAGTTTAGAATTGTTCTGTCCTGGTGGACCAGTAAGTAATCATCCAAGTAAACGATCACTCGTAAGCCCTGACGGCGCAATAGCTCGGCTGTCCAATTTGTCACCGACGCAAACATTTTCGGAGCTATGGCCAACCCAAAAGGTAGACATGTCATTTGAAGTAGCCTTCCCTCGTAACTGATACGCAGAAAGCAACGATGTTCGAGGGAAATCGGTATATGGTAATAGGCTTGGCTGAGATCCAGCTTCACCATCCAATCGCCTTTTTGTAAGAAGTTTGGCATTTGGTGGTGATGAAACAGATGAAAAGGTTCTGGTTTCATGAACTGATTTAAGGATTTTAGGTTGAAAATGACTCGATTTTTTCCGTTGTTCTTCGTTATTATAAAAAGTGGAGATATGAACGACGGAGTCAGCGGTGCTGGCTCCAGTATATGGTCTCGAATCATGGTATGGATTTCCAACGACATCGAAGTTGAAACAGGTGTTTGCAACTTTTTTAGGATTTCCCGGGTTGGTAGTACTAATGGCGGTTTTCGATTGAAAGGTATTCGAGCGGAGGTTATTATTTTTAGAATGGAAAAAGGAGGTTTTAATTTCGCCCAATTTTTGTGATAGTACCTTAAACAACCGCCCGAAAAGCCCATCGAGTCACTTATGCTTGTATTTATTTTGTTTGTTATATTTGCGCCCCCTTTTTTTTTTCTTTTCATGATCATTGACGATATGACTCTTTTGTCCTTGTTTTGAGTTGTATCGGTTACCAAGAAAGGGCTTTTGACTGACCTGAGACGTTGAAGCTACAGGCGACTTAGAACGTATGGGTGATTTAACGCGTATTGTTTTCGGTTGGTACCCACGAATTCTGTCAATTTTATCAATACCACCAACTTTTTGTAAATATGTAGATAATTGTTCAGGATTAAACATGTACTCCGAAGAGGGGGGAATTTTACCTAAATCTTCTCTAATATGTTTTCGTTGAAGGTTTTTTAGCAATGATTTACGGCGAGATTCTAATACTTCGGCCCGCTTGCCGCAAATAATTTGTAAAACATCGTGAGTAACAGCTTTATAGTCTGAAGTTTGACCAAAACATTCTTGCAATTTATCATGTATAGAATTTGAATTAAGAATCACGTTTGTCTGTGAAGACCACTCTAAAACGCTACGTAACGCCTTATTGACAAACTCATTTTGAGCTAAAAACGCATTTGATAAGGCTGCAAAACTTCGTTCCATGAGGTAAAATTTTGAAGAATCCTCTAGGAACCTTAATTCTTCATTAATTTTTAAATCGGTAAAAGCAGGAAAAGCAACGTATTTCTTTTGTATATCAATATAACGGTCACAGTTCCAATCAGAAGTGTTAAACCTCTGCATTGAAATTAATTTTGTAACTCTCTCGGGGATTGCCTTTGCAATTGAAGGTTCTTGAATCGACACGTCTAATTGCGCAATATCATTAAAAACAGCCGCATGGTTCAAAAATGGGTCGTCTAGGTTTGCATTATTAGATTCGGTTACTTTATTAAACATGCTAGACGACGCAGCAAAATTGTAAAAAGTATTATTTAGGTGACTCACCAATTGCTGCGACAATTGCTCAAACCTTAGATCCAAATCTCGAGAAGAATCACGCGAGTTACTGCGCACGTGGTTATTACGGCTTCGTTTTGGCGGCGGTTCTTCATCCTCTTCACTCGTACTCGAACTTTGCGAAGAACTCGGCTTGTCAGAACATGCAGAGACAATATCTCCCGTGATATTAGACTGCTTTGTAAAGTGCGGGTTAGGCACGTTTGACCGCGTGGCCAACACATTTTCACCGACTTTAACACTTTCATTAGCCATTTTGTATTATTTAACGTGAAAACCCGAGTTCACCAATTTACGTAATAATTAACTTAAATATGTATACTGATTTGTTTTTAAGTATGCACTAGCGATCTGTGCTTAGCGAAAAACGACGCAACAATGAACAAGAATTATGGCGGCTTGCTTTAGCGCGGTAAAAGTTAGTTCCAGTTTCAACCGCTGGGCGCTGGCGGCGGTGGCGCGTGGAGGGAAATAAGGGTCGGATACTAGCGATTTGGGCAGAAACGGAAACGATGTACTCTCATAATGGACCTCGGACGTCAAACGGAACACATTATATATATAATAATCTATTCTAGTGTCACCCTACTTTTAAAAATTAAATTTATCATTAATACTCGTATTCGTTATTTTATTACTTTAGTGCGCCTTGTGAATAAATAATTAATTCTTTCTCATTATATGAAGGAAAACCAGGTGAGGAAACCATGATCTGAGATAGGTTAGGTACGCGTTATTTAGGTATCTAAACATTGTATATATGTGAAATAATAATCGATAAATAAAAAATCGATTTTTTTATGCAGAATGTCACATCCCTAATTGTATATAATATATGTGTTTTTATATTTGAATTTTGACAGATTATATCTGATACCGGAAAATGTAAATACCGAGTCCAAGAAAAGGCTTTTTCGACTAATAATTTAGGATAAAATACATAACCATATAAACTCACGGGCAGATTTTTAAAATGTCTTGGTATTAAAAGATAATGTAAATTCTATTTATCTGGAGCTGCAACTTGTACCTTATGTTTTTGAAGTGAAACTTCTTTATCGAGGTTGGAAAAAAATTTAGTGTAACATTTTTTCGTTACGCGTCACATTTTTCGGTTACGCGCCATGTTGCTTTTTGAAGTCAAACTTCTTTATCGGCGTTGGAATGAAACTTCTTTATCGACGTATGGGAGAAATTTTGTAGCAAATCGTCACGTTTTTCAATGATAGTAATAATTCTATTACAATTCATGAAATTCTATAATAATCTTCGTAGTAATAAGGTAAAATGAAATATTTGTATTCATGTCTATGATAATAAAAGCCTTTTGTTAAATTATATCTAATTTAACGGATTTCTGTAAAGTTGCATATAGTAGATCATTTTTCGAAAAATAAGATCATAAAGAAGTTTCACTTCTTACGTGTGTACACCGAGTACACGCACAATTTATTTAATCTATTTTATAGTAAGCTTGTAAACTGTAATTAACGCCAATCGCCTTCGTTGATCGTTCAGACTTCAGCCGTTTGACACTTGACAGTATGTTATGTTCAAAGTTGTCACTTGTTGTCTGTTGAATTAATTCAGTTAGGAAATAGGAATCAGGGTTCGGAATATTAGCAATTTTGATTTTTTCCATAACTAATCATACTCATAATCATATCATAATCGACAAAAAATAATTTTGTTTAGTCTAACAGTATAGTCATAAGAGCCATGGGTGTTGATATACTTGGATTCGCGTATGCCGCAACTGTTGCCGCAGGAGGCATAATGGGTTATGCTAAGGCAGGTTGGTATTTATGAAATAATGCTAAATATCTTAAAAAATGTCCATACATAATATTGTGAACATTTACTTAAATTGTTTCCTTTATCAATAATAAAAGACCATAACATGTTGATAATGTAAGGTCTCTCCAAAGATAAGATAAAAAGTATCGAGAATGAATTCATCAGAGCATTGATTAAATGTTACTCAGTAAAAGTAAATACTCTTTTGTTAAAAATGTTTCATCAATTGCTTGATTTTTATGACAAATATTTTCAGGCTCAATACCTTCTTTGGGAGCAGGCATCATTTTTGGATCTATCTTAGGTATGTTATATATATCTATATACAACATTACATTATAATATTGTTTAATACTAAAGTATATTTTAATATTGGTCTTATATAGTCGGAAGATTTATAATTTTTTAAATAGAATATTTTTTTTTGTATGTATACAGTAGAACTTCAGTAAAGTATGACACCTTAATAAGTGTCAGTATACCTGCAAAACTCGAAAAAGTTTCTAGTTCCTTTCCTTCAAGCCCAAAACCTCAATTAGAAGAAATCTCATTCCTCTAGTCAAAATAATCAGGATGCTATTTTGGTACATATTCGACAATTATAACTCTGTATCTCAATTTCATAGAAATGTATTAATTTACAACCATTACAACTCGAATAAGTTGTACTTCTTACGTGTTTACTTCGAAGAAAAATAAGTTATTGACTTTAAGGATTTGCTAACAATGTAAGTCAATATTAGAAATATAAATCAATTAATCTTTATCTGTACAAGTTGAATCAAAATCCATACATTCGAGCCAAAATTATCCATAAGTTGAAAATTCTATATCTAAATTTTTTTGGCATCTCCCTTGATCTTCAAGTTATAAATGTTGTACTGTAATAGGCCACTGCAAATATCCATAATAATAAAATAAAATAATATAGATTAAGAATTTTATACATGTTCCCACATTATTCACATTACCCACTATATTAATATTTTTTTACTCTTTCAGGTGTTGGTGCATACCAGCTAAGCCAAGATCCCTCAAATTACACATTAATGCTTGGAACTACAACATCATTGGGTGGTTTAATGGGATACAGGTACTTTTTCTTTCTTTGAAGTAAATTGTAGTGATGTTCATTTTGACAGATTTTAAATTTTAAGATATAAACTGGTGTGCCCATTTTTTTGCAAAAGAGTTTATAGATATTTGTAAATCTACTTCATATTTTAAAAAATGTTACAATTTTTTTCTCACTATCTATAGGAACCAACACATGAACACCATCATTGTATTTACATTGTGATTCACAAAATACTAGAAAAAAATCAAAATATTTAAGTTTCTTAGTCATAAAAGAGCTTTATAAGAAAAAAATTTAACAGCCAAAGCACCTAGTTAATATTTAAAGGTGCATATTATAAAAATGTAATAGTATTGTATTCTCCTTCATATCAATAATTATTGTTTCAGATATTACAATGGCAGGAAGTTCATGCCCGCTGGTTTAATGTTTTGTCTATCGGTTGGTATGTTAACAAAACTATTGGTTACGAATGTTGGCTCCAGTAGATTACCTGTTAAGTCAAGTTAGATTTATGGTTGCATATGGTAGAGCACCTTAATCACCCCATTTTGATCACACTTTTTAAGGAAATTAGAGATTTTGGTATAAGTTTACTTTTTTGTTAATAACAGTCTATTTAGTCTGGAATAAGGTTGAGTCAATGTTAAAGTACATCAAATACCTTGTCTAGACTATAAAAAATACAATGTGTTGTTAATAAATAGCCAATGATTTTGTTTAATTATTATTTACCAATGATTTTGTTTCTTTGACCTTGATTTACTGATAGCAAAACTATTCTCTACATTTGTTTCTAAAACAAGTTTTGACAGAAAATGTGATTTACATAATTGTTTCATTTACCTTTTGAGTTGTATATCTAGTTATTAGTGGCCTTGGCATTTGTGTGACTTTCCTAATTTGTATATTTTGATTTTATATCAATTTGCAATTGTTGCTTTTTATATGTTATGGTGATGGGAGAATAAAAGTCTTTGTTATAATTAATTTTGTATTATTTCCTTAACATATAGGACGAAAGAATACATAAATAGAAAATAATAAATAGTTGGCAAGTAACAATTTTAATTGCCAAACTAATCTATGGTAACTTTTATTATCTATGTCATAAATAATTATGAAAAACAAAAATTACAGACTATTGTGTCAACAATGGCAAGGAGTAAACATTGTCGTAAAATCGGATATTATAAGAGTAAAAGTGCGATCCAGTCGCTAATAGAAAATGATAGATAAATGAAACCCCGCTGCCTTTTCTATAAAAATAAAGTAGTTCACTGTTCTAAATGTCACAATATTTCAGGTTATATAATCCTAAATTAAACTATTTCTTAAAAGGCACTTCTTGGCAGTTTCTTTTTATTCTTAAAAAAATACTATTATACAACCGTTTTTAAACGAAATACCATAGACTAAAGTATTATAGCTAATCCTTGATCTTGTTCGTCGTATTTTATTTACAAACTAATGTACTTATAGTTCATTACACAATCACATTGTAATATCACTCACAACAATGCCTGGGAGTTATCAGACACGTTTCAAACAAACAAGTGTTTCGCATATTTTACCCGCTGAAGTTTGAATATTACCCATTATCAAATTTAAATTTATAATCGAGATTAGAGAATATACATTTCTATTGTATTCTAGCCATAGATAGACAAATATGCATTGTAAAATTTTAAAGGTGACCAATATAATATTAGGTTGTAGTAGACCTATTATTTGTAATTAATATGGTACAGCTTGACAACATCATTTCTTAGTTACTGTACATTTTATGAGAAACAAATAATATAATAAAAATATTAAAAGTAACTAAATGTTATTAAGAAGTATCATTCAAAGAATCATCCCTGATTTTTAATTTTTAATGTTAGGAGACTGCATTACCAATATATAAAGAATACTTAAATCTCTCTTTGCAATTTTTTTAAAAGTATAAATATTAAAAAATACCATTATAAAATATGCCTATTTAATATTTATCGGGTAATATTCAAGTTTAATATGCGAACACGTCACAATCTGCAAATATAAGGGCTGGATTGTCATAGACAAGGCGTTTTAGCGCCATTTCTTCTGTCATCCAGCTAGCAGTCTTCAGTTATGTTTCCCGCTCGATTTGCTAATGGCGGCTACTGGAACACAAATGTTTAATTATATCCATTACACAAATATACAAATGTTTTTTTAGTTATTGCGACTGAATTAATCAACTATTTAAAACGCTAAATAATCGAAACAGTTAAGTGTTAGTTTAAATTCTATTGTGTATTAGTTGTATACCAGAATGTGCAATCAATGTGAAGACATTGAATGCACATTTTATAACCCTTCCATGGTTCGATTCCAGGCGACACAACTGTTTTAGGTCTGTAGACAATTTTGTCCCCGCGTTAATGGCCATAAAGTATAGTGACCAGTGAAACAGATCCAAAAATATAACTACACCCTGTCCTTCAGCCATCTAAAATATTTGTTTTACCAGTCACTTAGAACTAATTTATACCTATTTTATCAAAAAGACATCCTTATTATAGTGAACCCAAAACAGCAATTTACAACTGTCAATGATAAAACTTGTGTGCCACAATGACAATCGTTCATTAATCAACTAAATATTGACAATTGCAAATTACCATTTTAGTAAACGTCAAGAAAATAATGTATTCGTCGGTGTATGGTCGGTTTTTTCATGCACAAGAAAGAGTAGAAGTTCAAATGTAGATTATGTACAGAATTAATGGTTGATGGCCGCTGTATGTACATAGTATCGTGTTTCGTGATTGTACATTTTCGATGATTGATGTTCCGATGGTTTCTCGTATGATTAGGTGACTGAGGTAGTGTGATTGCGTCTCCCGTATATATAGTACACATGGCATATAGGTTCTATTTAGAGGTATAAAAATACGCTAAAGTTGAAAATTTCGTATTTAAATTATTTTGTCGATTTGCACGCAGAAATAAGTGTTTTACAATTTGGATTTCGCCCTTGATTTGAGAACTGGCAGTAAATGTAAAATGCATTTAATGTATATTTCTTTTTTGACGTTCATAAGTGTACATTGTGTTACCTATATGAATATTTTTGATTTTGATAGTCTAGAAGGTAACTAAACGTTTTACTGCGATTAAATTCATTGATAATTGAATGAAGTTTTGAAAAAATTTCGCTGTCCAGAATCTTTGTTAAGTGGGATGACTTCTGAACAGGATTTTTTTTGGATTATTTGATTATTACTCAATTGGTAGCCAAAATTGTCTAAAATGAATGATTAAGGACCTCTATTATGCCAGGATTGTATACAATTGCCATTTGCCTTTACTATTGGAGACGACAATTCACACCTCTGAAGAAGATGATCCATTTGAATGATCAATCCTTACCCACATTACACATGATCCGTCAAATTCCTCTGATACGAGTAAACTAATCTCGCTGGCTCAATTTGTACTTGCTGCGAGTTAGCATCTGGTCTTATGGAGTTATCCGACGATTTTTGGGAATAGTACGTCCCAAATTTGAAGACCGATTGGACACCCTTGTCCTGGTAGGGGCTCTTCGTCGTCCGAGAGAAATAGCTCTCAAGGTCACCCTTGCTGAAGAAGCCCCGTTTGGGTTCTGCCGTGGTTCTCGAATAGAAATCTTGGAAATCGTATGGACTTCGTGTGGTCGATACGGAGTATAGGTTCAGTGATGGTGGGAATTTTGTTGCTTCTGTACTTTTCTCTACGCGTTTAGGTTCTTGCGTGTAGTAGTGGTATGGGTTTTCTGTTGTTGTTTCTGGCGATTTGTAATAGTTTTGTTGGGGGGGTGGTTCTGTACTGGGTACGTATGGCTGTGTTGTATCTTCGCTACTGTATGTGTGCGTAAAAATATTGATTAGTATTATTTTGCTGGGTTTTTAAGAAACTAAGAGTAGTTATTTCCATGGTTGTGGAAGTCTAATTGTAAATGCGAATGTATCATATACGTAACAGTAATAGTACTGCACAGTTTTTAGTGTTTCCTTTCTCTTTTTTAATTTAAAAACGAGACTTAGCACGATAACTTCTGTATGTCAAATCCAAATTTTGGACGTATAGGAGTCCAACTTAGGGCTAAGTTTCGTTTCGAAATCTCACCTACATTACGTACCATCCATTACATCTTTTTTCATACCTACTATTACCATCTTTTATAAATTAAAAAAAGGTTAAACAATTGATTTTCTTTCTAATGCCGAAGCATATGAAAGGTGTTAAATGAAATATACCTTGTAATGTTTCCGTAGAAGGGGCTGGTCTCAGGTCGGACGTAACTCGGCGTGTGTTGGGAGTAATCCGGGATTATATTCTCGTTCTCGGTGATACACCGTCCGTTTATACAGTACTGAAATAAATATACCATTTAAAGACGATAAATATGTTATGGTAACACTTTTTTTTTTTGACAATTCACACCAATTGACCTAGTCCTATGATAAGCTGGTGAAGCTTGTGTTATGGGTACTCTTCAACGGATATACATACATACCTATTATAGATAGATAGACATATAAATACATATTTAAACACCCAAGAACTAAGCACAACACCAAATGCTCATCACATCGATGTTTGTCTCAGCCGGGGATCGAACCCGGGACCCATGGATTCGCAGTCAGGGGTACTAACCACTAGACCAATAAGCCGTCCTTGCTCCTACGGTGAACGAGCAAGTGCAAACATCGTGAGGAAATTGGCATGCCTTCAGCCCAAAAATGTTGACATGCGTAAACTAAAAATCAAAATAACTTAATTCATATATCTAAACAAGTAAACTTATGAACGTCAGAAAAGAAGTTAAATTAATTCTAAATTTACATTTACTACCAGTTTGCAAGTCAAGGGCGTAGAGCGGGCAAGAAGAACTGGCAAGAAACTCTCCGTCACTCTTTAATCGCTAAGTTTTGAGTTGAAATTGTTTGAACTGGAGCAAATCAATCCCAAGGAATAGGATCATTTAAATTCATCAAATTTATAAAAAGTTTTATTGATTAATTTACGTTTAACGAGAGCTTTGAATTTATGTAGTGGTAATTCTCTTTTGTGTCAGACATAAGGTTGATCATTATCTGATGCAATCTGAGGTCAAGAAGGGTTGTTGTTGCCACTGAACTATTATTGATAATGCAAGAAAACATAGCAAGTTCTCGTGGATATTCAAAATTATGTGTATCACGTTATTCAGGATGTCATAACTTAGGTGCACCAGAGCAAAAAGGTGGACTAGTCAAGCATCCATTGCGTCACAATTATATCACATTTCTTGTGAAACAGGAATTTGTTGTCACGGATTATGTCACGAATTAATAATAATAAACTTTCATTTGCAATTATGTGACCAGTGATCCGTAATTTTACGAACACGTGATTATGTGGACTAAGTTCGTTGGCAGACATCGATAGCGGTTCTAGTATTATATTAATACGATTTTTAGTTAGTTTCAAAAGATACGTGTATAAATTTGACAACCGTTGTACCGTTAGTTTGTGTCATATAGTATTGTCAGTCAAGGAAATTTTGTTTGTTAAAAAAAATTAATAAAAAAGGAATATCGTGTGTTAAAGCATGGTTTTTGGCGAAATAATATACTGTAAGCGTCGCCGTAATATACCCTTCTGGAAATATAATGTAATGGTAATATAACATTACCGTAATATAATGTAGAAACAAAACTTGGTAGTTAATTTTTGTTTTTATAATGCTCATTGTAATATTATATGTTTTTGTTTTTTTTCTCTAAATAAATTTAATTAAATTGTCTCTGCACATAATTTACTATTATTAGCCTAACTAATAAATAATTTAAGTCTAACCTAATTTCTTTAAGGATATTTAACATAAGAAAGTGTCCAATAACACTACTTAGTCTCTATTAAGGGGAAGACACTCTGTTGTTGTGTTCTATTTTTTTCACTTACCACTGTTTAGCACTTAAGACTAATCCTAATACTAATTCAATAATTCAAATGGATTTCGTCCCTTTCAATCTTCTCAGTAGGCCCATGATGTCAAGAAGTTGAATAGCCTCGACATTCACATGTTAATGGAGCCTTTGTTAGTGAACCTTCTTAAACTAAATTAAAAATAATGTTATCTGACCTGTCCGTCTCCACATGGGGACCCTTCAGCAGCCGGTCTGTAAGCCACACAGTATCCACTTGCCGCGTCGAAACAGAACAATTGCGCGCAAACCCGCTCATCTTTGAAACACGCACTGAAATATTTAATTAGCTTTATCATATAGGTTATATATTAAATTGGAAATGCGTTTAACGAAAGCCATGATTTTTTAAAATGACCTCTTGTAAATCGGTTCTGCATGATTTTGGGTGAGCGAATTTCAAAAACAAAATAACAAAATGTATTATTTTTACTTTTTTTTTCTTATATGAGTCAGACTAGACCTAGTATAGGCAGCGGCACGTAAGTCTAGCGCTGGCCGATACGTGGAGGGGATTGCTGCGCATGTGTACTGTCGCGCGGGGGACGGAATGCGACTGGAGAGCCAATCGAAACTCTTCATTCCGCTAGCCCCCCCTCAGGTACCTTATTTTTTACTTCTGCGCAATAACGGTCAGCGCTAGAGTTTCGTGCCGCTACTTGTATACGTAATTACTAAGCCTTCGCAGCGCTTTTACAGTTTCCCATATCAAAATGTCTGTGCGGATAGAGAACCGTCGTAGGATTTGTGATCTAAGTAACAGGTATATTGAAAATATTATTCAACGACAGTAATCTTAACATGAAAAAAATTAAGTATAACTGTGAATAAATAACGCGTAGCAAGTATTAACAAAGTTAACAAAGGCGCCAGGTTGTATTTCCCCACAGACTATTGTTTTAACTATATTAAGCATTTTTGATGTTCTGTAAATCTGTTTACATAAAAAAATTAAGTGATAACAGCCGCCCATGGACATCTGCAACGGCGGGGGCTAAGGTGTGTTGCCGACCTTTCAGGGAATGGTAAGTACGCTCTTTGTTTGCTTGTATCGGTTTGACATTTTGTATGTACTACGGTGTGTATTGTGAAAGCCGTCTAAGAACAAAAGCCTGGCTTAAGTTGTCATCTCTTCCTCTCTAATTGTTTTGCCTCTGTGCTGAAGAGAGACAGCTATTAAGTCTACATACCTGGTGCCCCGATCTTTCCTACATTGCGCGTCTAGTGTGAGTAGTCGCCCAGGAAGTACTCTCGGTAGGGAATCGTCTTCATGAGGCGAGTTGTATAAACACGTTGCCGTGTCTCCACTGAAATTAAGCAATTTTAAAGATTAGACTTAGGGTTCTATTGACTTGCTGCATCCTCAGCCTCAGACCTCGCTGATGAAGAAGTAATTGCCAATATATATTTTGCGGCTAAAGACAAATTGTGGTATAAAAATGGTGTCGAAAATTTTTATGACCGCTACAATCGTTGCATTGCACTTGAAGGCGATATTGAATAATCAAATCAAATTCTATCTAAAAGAAAGATTTTGCTATGTTAGCCTATAAACTTTTTAGCCATAATAATTACGACTCCATGGGATGTTTTTTTAATTATTAAACCGACCCCAAATACCTGCCAACTGAATTTACAACTTATTATGCATACTGAATTGATTTTAATGAAACTTAGACTGTTATTTTCCCTTAAATTGAAATACATACCTTATCACCTCGATATTACTTTTAGTTTACTGGAAATTTGTAACTTTAGCAAACATGCTTTGAATCAATAGATAGTACTCAAATATTAATTCCATAAAAATCAGACAAGCGCAAATTAATAACTTTTTGTAAAATCAAAGAAATTCTTCGTAAATTGAAATCTTACTTCAAAAAATGATGGAAGCTCTGCACACTGCAGGGAGACCACCGGAAGCCCTTCTCTGTATGACGAAGGTCTGACATGATGAATCCGTCTTCCCATCTGCACTTCTCAGCACCAGGGCCTCCTAGGTATGATGGCGGTGGACTTCCATCGTGGACGGCGCCCAATCTGGAAATATACGATTTCTATACCAGGTATTTTTAGGTTTTTTATTATTTTTAGGTCTGGACCTAAAACTGGTTTTTTTTTGTGGTAGTAAATGTGTTTTTTTATAATACACATATATACAAACTCAAACTATCTTTATTCAAGTGGGTAACCAAGAACACTTTTGAATTGTCAAGTTAAATTAGTTGTAAATTTACATTTACTACCAGTTCGCAAGTCAAGGGCGTAGAGTGGGGAAGTTACTGATGGAGTGGTTTATCAGTCTAATTCCATGGTCTGGTGAATTTGGTTAAAATTTTACAATTAGATTAGTTTCCAGTAAAATTTAGATGCAATAAACACTCGTAGCCTGTTCGAGTTTTTGGGGAATATTTGAAAACCTTTTCGAATGAAATGCTTTTAAAGTGTTATAAGAAATATATTTTATTAGTTATAAACGACAACTTACAAGTGTCCAACTTCATGAGCAGCGACAATGATACCAGAAAAACCACCAGTGTCCTCGATTATAGCAACCGAATTCACTTTTTCCAATCTCTTGTTGACGACGCATGCGCCGCCGACGTACGCAAAACCTGTTGTTAAAACAGATTAAAACCTTCGCCTACATTTACAAAAAAAAAACATCAAGGAGGACCAGTGCTTCCAATTAATCCGATAGATTATAATTTACTGAAACTATAGACTACAATTTCATATTACACTCATTGAACTCGTTAACTTAATAACAATTTTTAAATTTGGAATGTTATGATTTTTTTTTCACAATGGAAGCACTGAAGAGGACGGATATGGGAGGGATAGTCTATGACAATAGAGGATTTTTGATCTATGGCATGAAGTGATTTTGAAAATAGAACATTTGAAAATACTTACACTGATAATATAATGCAATCATGCAAGTGTAATAAGCGAGTAAGTATTATAAGTACCGTCACCTTTAAGCGTATGTTAGAGCTGTGAATTCCATTTAAAAGTACATATAAAATTAGTAGTCTAATTTATGTAGGCATAATTATTTCTTAACTCTTTGAAGCACGCTTTGTTTACGTACCCAGAGTCAACATTTTTGTTTTTTTTGGCGTTCGCATGGCTAAAACAAATATATGTATGTATATTGTAATTCTTTGTCCTGTTTATAGCTACCCATAACTATGAAACTAAGTTTAACAGTTTTTGTTACTATGTAGCATATATTTTTTTGGAAAAAAGATTTTCGGGTCAGAAAACCTTCCAGTTTCATTACAATCTGATCAATAGGAATTTTTCGTTCGTACAATCGCCGTTCCCTATAGTTTTATTATGCATAGTTAATTAAAATTAACATACTGATACATATAATATATACATTAATGCTTTTAATTCGCTGTCCTCGCTGAGTAAGGTAGGGCTTTGCGCAACTTATGAGAATCGAGAAGATGGACCGGTGTTCTTTTGAAAGGTAAAGTGGCAATCGTTATGTTGAAATGATGATCTTTACCATAGCTTGTTTATGTGACGTAATTTTTTGTCTATGGCGTCTTAATTGTTCTTTTTTTTAAATTAGACTAGCTGTAAGCTACCTGCTGCTTACTGTAAATGTCTATAATTAGTTGACGTGTGTGACGTGTAAACTTAGTGTTGCTACAAACTGTGTGTCGGGTTCTATTTTCAAATTAGAATTATTATTATACTGCCTGTATGGGACTATGTGCGTATTCCACACTCAATCGTACAGTGAAGGAAAACATCGCGAGGAAACCGGCCAGAGGCCCAAAGTTGATGGGGTGTTTCAGGCACAGAAGCCAAATAAATTATTACAGAAATCTGATACCCAGACCTAGATGTTTGTAGTGCCACTGTTTTTTTTTTATCACGTGGCCGTTCAACAACGAGATAGACCAACGTGCAAGACACATTGTCTTCAAAACTCTACACTGTAATAAGGGGCGCTGGACAGAAACCGGTGGAGACATACTCCGCTCCAGATGTTTCCTTGCTGACCACGAAGCTCAATCATGAGCTATCGACTAGAGATTTGAGAATGCAGGTTAACAAAACATAAACAAAAAGAGTTTCTATCATATGTCAAAAATTATCGGATTTGATGTTCACGGAATCTTAGTCTTGAATAAGACTCGCAAATATTGCTTAGTTCCGATATACTTAGGTAGTGTGTCAAAACATGTCTTAAGACATATGTAATCTAATGGTGCTAATTAACACTTGTAGACAAGTTTTTCACGTGTACTGAGACACCTAACACGTCAGACGTCATTAATATTAACATTATCTATTAACGTTGTATGGTTCACAAAATCCATCACTATTTCAACACGGTAAGTTGTGTTTGGTGTAGTCTATGGTCTATGAAAAAATAAAAAATAACTTCTTTATATAGAGTAGGGTAATGTTTATTATTATTTTTTAATATGAATTATTTTACCATTGCACCCATTGAGGTAGGATATCCAAATCTCTTTCCTTAGAAATAATTAGTTTAGGAAGAATGTTTTCCTTAACATACATATTTTATATATATGCCATCAAAATTACCTTATAAAAAACAAACGCAACGCAGTTCTTCTACCGTTAAAAGTTGTGAGATCCATGGACGTTCTGTCTTAAGTTTAATATTAAGAAATAGAAGCTTAATTGATGCCTTTAAATCCTCTCTCTTCTCTTCTTTTCTCATTCATTCTCTCAACTTTGCCTTGTAACAACCGCTTTATTATTAAAAAATTCTAAATACGAAACAGAATCAGAATGAGATGTGACACTTTTGGATGTATTTATAAGACATCGTTATGTTTAATAAGCTGTCTCTTTTTATCACAGCGTAAAAATTGAGATAGAAAGAGATGAATGAAAACTTTTTAAGAGTGTAATTTTTGTGAGGGATTGCAGTAATGACGTCATAAATGGTACTAATTATAGACAGATGGCTAAACTACGACAGATATGTCTATGTACATGAAATTTAATGTATGATCTAGAAGATAAATACTAATTATACTATTTATTACTTTAAACATTTTTGTGCAGACCTTATCTTCCAAGTAACAGAGAAGTATGAAAGTATACTAAAATAATTTTTTTCTATTTTATATTATTAAAAAATGTATACATGCATCACAAGTCATTACAATATTCAAATTTGACTTTGACAATTCAACTTCAATGTAAATTTATTTTCTACACCACTATTGCTATTTCATTTTTTTTTTGGGATTTTATGACCTGGCATTTACAACCTTTAGGTCAAATTGCTATTTCATAATTTGTTTTATAGATAATAACCTTGAAAGCTTTGACAACAAAACTATCTGTGGTTTTATTTTAAAAAAAAGTTTGAACGAAAATATAGACTCGGTAAGACAGTCTGGACCACAGAACAATAATACAAGGTCATGAGAGAGAAAACCTTATATTATGGGCCCATGTTAAACGTTTAAAGTAATAAATGGAAGGACGACAAAAGTTAACAACAGATTATTCACAAGGTGCATGATCACGGATAGACAGGTAATGACCAATGTGATAAACGTGATCTAGGTAAGGGACATTCGGTGATACAGGCGTGCTTGGGATATTAAAAAATCTTCGCACACGCCTACCTGCTGTCCCTCTATTGCACGCATCGTTCGCGTATTGTCTCCTGCACATGTCTAGTCTGAAATCCACCCAAATACAACTAAATAAAATGTTAACAAATCGTCTCGGTACACGAACTCAACATCTTGGGAACCTAATAAATTGTGCAAGCATAATCTGTGTAAAGTTATGCAAACCATAAGCAATATTCTATTTTATGTTAATTACGATCGTAAAAAGAGAATATTGCCTATGGCTGAGCGCCATTACCGTCCTTAACCTCGAACATTAAAAAATCAAGCCGAATTATGTCACTGTCAAGCCTCGGTTAATGCTGAATGTCAACACCACTCGCCATTGTAAAACCTTTTTGGTATAAAATTAAATTACCAGCGGTGCCTTTTGTACAGCGACCACCCTTGCGCCGTCGGCACATGTCATACCTGTTGGTAAAATCAGTTTTTGTGTCTTCATTCAATGTTGACATAACTTCCGTCGAATGATATACGTTCGAATTTTAAATTGAAGTGACAATTGATAAACGACACGATTAATGGCGCCAAGTGACTTACGTTATACTTACTTCTTTGTCCTGTCTGCAGCCAAGGAAGGAAATATTATAATTAATAGCTGTTAATTAAATTAAAAATCAATAAATATGAAACATAATTATGTTATTAATTAATTATAATACAGATCTTGATTGAGTGGCCAGTGAGGATCACAGCAGGAAGCTAAATATTATATGAAGGAAATCCGACTGCAAATACAGTAAATAAAATGTTTCCTTAATTATTTGCTGCGCTTTTACAAGCTGTAAATACTGTTTGTAATGTATTTCCTATATAAGAAAAACAAAGATTAAGTTAAAACGTACGTATAAAACACATATACATTTTAAAGTTTTGAACAGATATTATATATTTTTTTAAACTTACTTTGTGATGGCAACTGCAATATCATATACTGGCAGTCGTCTCTCCCTGAACAGATACTTGCCCATATCTGTCAACGCAGCGGCAGAGTCAATTGCGTCACGACCAACTCGATTTCTTTCGAGATACGGCGTCGCATCTCGACCCTAATAAAAAAAATACCGCTATAAAAATATAACACCATTCACGACCGGACATTACCGTAGAAATAAAATAATATTTAAATACGACAAGATATATCGCAGTATATTTGTTCTTCTGACTTTAATAAAATAATGTATGGTAAACTAAATTTAAATCTTAAATAAAAAAAACTGCAATTTCATATAAATTAAAGACATGATGTCATCGTCATATATATTCTACGAGCAATCTATTATGTTAATGAAGATGTGATGACAATCATGAATAAATACTAGAAAAATATTTCTTTTTTTTAAGATGGCAGGACATACAGGAAAGCCATAAAACGCAGCTACCGTAGTAGCCCAAGGACGCCCGTTTTGTTATTTACATTATTTCATTAGAAATTAATTTCACTTCAATACGTATTATGTAATGATAAATAAGTATATCAAATCACATGATATTAAATTGAATGGTAATAAAGCAATATTCATTATTTACATTAACACATATATTCTATATAATTGTTAAAATTTTGAAATCTAAACTGCCGAACACGATTCCCGCGCTTTTTATTAAATGTTTTGTGTAGTATAAAATTGTCAATTTATAAATATCCCATAAGGATATACAGAAAATTATCTATGAAAATATATTTTGACAATTCAAAAGATTTTGGCAGCTTTCATAAAATATGAATCGCAGTAATGTTTCCCCGCGCTTTTATTATCTAAATGTGATGTGCGCGGCTGCGCGCCATTTTGTTACATTTTAGAATGTCCATGTTTTGACATTTCTCATAACTTACTAAGTTTCAGTTTCATTTATGTTAGTTTTTTAAATAGGTTTTTAAAATGGCTAGTGAAGCTGTGCTAAAGTATTTAGAAGATACAAATAGACCGTATTCTTGTGCTGATGTTACCGTGAACCTAAGGGGTGCGTTTTCCAAAACAGTAATACAAAAAACTCTTGACGCATTAAGTGAGGCGGGAAAAATAAAATGCAAATTGTATGGGAAACAAAAAGTGTATGCTGCGATACAGCTTGATAATAATGAAGGCCCTAGTGATAATGAAGGTAATAGCTTTATTTTTATTTAGTATTTATCGCTAAATAGGTACTACTATTATTTGTTATTACCTTTATAGATAGTTTATTGGTAAAAAGAGAGGCGACAAATGTTTATTAATACATACACTGCAATTAATTTAAGAATAAGCATTAATTATTATGTCAATATGTATTTACATTACAATTCTAGATTAAAAAACTTATTAGTAGTAGATTAAAGATTGTGTTTTAATCATATATTATGTACAATACAAGGTATGTAGATATATCATAAGAGTTACGTGTATTTAAGCATTAACGACGTAGTAAAAACGACAAAAAATTATACGACAATAAAGCAAACTATTATTTATTATACTATTAAATTTTTATACAGCAACTAAAATCCTGTGTCAGCTTTTAAATAAATAAGTATGACTCATTCTTACTGTAAATTTTGTGCTAAATTAAAAATTTTCAGATTACGATGCCAAAATAATAGAGGTAACTAAAGATTTAGAAGAAAATAGAACAAATTTAAAAACAATAGAGAATCGTTTAAAAACATTGTTGGCAACACCAACTACAGAGTCGGCAAAACAGCAAATAGAGGACATTAATAAAAACGTAGAAAGTATGGAGAAAAAATTCGCAACATTGCGAGATTCTGTCGAAGTTATAAGTGCTGAGGAGAAGAAGACTATACTTAATCAGCATGATAAATATTTACGTGAATATAGGTAAAATATATTGGTCTATATTTTTGTCTTTGATTCCCTGTTGATAAGTTATTTAACCTTCCATTAAATCTTTGCAGATTTAATTAACAGCATATAGCGTTATTTTTATTTACATGATATTTTAAATTCAGGTCATTATTCTGTCATTATACAAGGTTACTGTGTGTGATATATTTTTAATTATATTATCTGTTTTTAGGAAACGCAAAAGAATTTGCTCAGAAATGACAGATACAGTATTAGAAGGGTATCCGAAACCTAAAAAGAACTTTATCGAGGAACTTTGCATAGAGACAGACGAAGCGGTCGACTTTAAACTTACGTCGCAATAAATATTTTTTATTCCTTTACTCTTTTATTTGGATTTTTAAATTGATATCTATAATAAACTAGCGGATCTGAAAGACGTAATCCTGTACACACGTCTTATATACAAAAAAAATTAATGCAAATAATTCTAGACTCCACTTGAACACACAAAAAAAATTATCAAAATCTATCCAGCCTTTAAATTATTATATAATTTAGGAGTATAATAACGTAGATACACATGCACACAAGATTTATATATGGATTTATACCCGATGTTTATTTGCTGTATAGTTAAATAACCTAGATACCGACTGCAGCGCCATCTGCCGCTCCGATTTGTGAATCTAAACCATCTAGGGCGTCACCCAAACGCATACAAAAAAATTCATTCAAAACGGTCCAGCCGTTTAAGATGAGTTCAGTGACATACACACATACAGTAGAATTATAATTATAAAGATGATGATGGCATTTTATTTAAATCCTATATAAAGGAAGCAATAATATATTTTAATTATTCTACGTGCAATTTTAATCAATGAATTAGCGTTTTAGGACAATACATTATAATCCTAAGTTCCACCTTTACCTACAATATAATAAGCATAATAAAGTGGTACCCCTTTTCCAGACAAATATTTCGTATTTATAGGCTGATTAGCCTTTTGAGAAAATGAACAGTGAAACAGATACAGAAGTGTGTGTGTGTATAGTTTATTTCGCACCAGTCAAGAATTTATAGTTTTTTTTTTTCAACTTTCATATAAGTTGCCTTCTTAATCATTAAGATACTGTAACTAAAATCAAAATTACAAAAAGTTCTTACTAAGGCTTTTAGCCCGTCAGTGTTAACTTACCCGAGAAATAATAATACCAGCAATTGAGATTCGTATCCTGGGCCCTTTAAGCAGTTTGTACCTAAGATCGACTCCATTCCAAAATGACACGAAGTATCGTTTAATTTGTAGATTGTCTCCACCGTGCAACCTGGAATTTTATAATCATTCATTCAAAATTGAATTGATTGATCTAAGATGAGATGGTTGAAGCAAAGACAATATCTATGGTCAAAAGAAGTATTCTTTTCTTGGACGCGCAAGATTGGTGCAAAACAGCAAATTTACTATTCAATATTGAAGTGGAAATATAATGATTGAAGTGGTAAAGGCAAAAAGTTTAAGTATTAACAATTAAAACAAAAATACAATTAAAAATTAACAAAGAGTTTTGTTTTGTCGGCCATGTTGACATTTTACCCCTTGTCCATTAAAAAGTAAAACTTTCCAAAACTTGCAAAATATCTACTTTCATGAACAACCGAATGAATCTTTATAAAGTTCGATATTGCTAGAAACCCTTGGCAACTACATAATGTTATGACATTTAATACCCATGTTCTAAATTCAAATGAGGTCAAATACTTCGCTATAAGCATTTCATAATAATTTTCGAATTATACATCTGTATAAATTATCCTTTTCATTCAAGTTACGTGAAATTTGATATTTGCAAATCAAGTTTTGTTTAAATATTGGTACATTAAAGTGTACATTACAATAATTAATGGTTATTGGAAATCGAAGGCCATAAAAAGTGCCATCAAAGTGATTTGACAATCATAATATTTTTTATTTCAGCCAGAATTAGAAATTTAAAAATTATCAATTATCATAAAAATTATCAAGGATTTGCTGTACTCATATCTATCTCAATATGAGTACAGCAAAACACTTTAGCCCACTTGAAGCCTGTTTTTTTACAATTCTAATAATCAAAATAATTTAAAAAAATATATTAAACTTATGGCTGTTTAAGAATGTTTCTAGACCAATCACAGTCAAGCGTCGTAATCTAACATGCTCTAGCTCAAAAGTGCTTACAAAAAACATCAAAGTTAAAAACTTAACAAGAGACACGTGTAATAAATCTCAAAAAAACCATAAATTATTTTTAGTAAAATACCTGTATCCGTCATAGTCAACAATAACGAGTATTTCCGGGTAGATGACGTAAGGCGCTTCCCGTTTCCGCCGGCTGTGAGAGTCTGTGGAACGTCGCCGCCTAAACCTTTTACTGAGGTGATCTGGCTCCATGAAAGCTGTAATAAAATACTTTTTAAATGTTCGGTATATACATTTAATTACTGTACGGTTGGACAGCATTATAACTTTTTGTATGCATAAAGCGTATTTTTAAGTTATATCAAAATTATGTTCCCGAAAAAACCATAACTTAGTACGAGAAAAGTATATATATATAGTATGTTTTTTATCTTCAACATAAGTGTAGATGGTTCGGTCAGAATAAGCTTAGCTTGTAAAATCTATAAAGCAGACGCAGAAATAAGTCTGCACCGTCCCTTGATAAATTTACTGGAGTGCAAATGATAGGTTAATAGGAAACTTCTTAATAAATATCTTTTAACAAAACTCTTTCATTACTTTCTAACCAATCAGTACTATACACTAAATTTGACATGTTTCCTCTGTTGGCAATAATCTCCAAACATATTAATTATATGTTAGCTTGAAGCGATGTTATTTAGTTTTTTCGTATTATTGATAATTTGGCATTTACGAATGGCGCTAGCAGGCAAAGTATTATTTATGTATTCGTGGTTTAGTAAACCTGTTTTATATTCGTTTTATTTTAAAAATACAAGGGTCTGTGGTTAGAAATATGAGAATAACAGGTGTTAAACTCACAGAATATTATGTCTATATAAAGCGTTCCATAGATTACAAATTGTAATAAGGTTTTATGTTGGATGTATATATTAACACTATATTCTGGGAATACAGTATACTAGTCAGTCCAGGCGAACGCTTTTCAGTCAACATGAAATCGTCGGATAATAAAAACGATTTTGCATTTTCATATTAAAAACATATACGAAGATATTTGGATTAAACCAAATAATCGTTATTTTATCATAAACGTTGACAAGCGTCAAGGTGAACGGCTTTTTACAAATTATCACCGATAAAATATTTGTAAAAACTAATCATCATAAAATTATGTTCAACAAAATGAATATATGAATTATAATTAGGCAATTGGAAAGTTCACGAGAATGTCACGTGACATAGGAGATCCTTTATTGTAATATTTGGTTAAAGAATTTATTGTTCCCTAAAAGACAAATATTCAATGACATCTGCTTAAAATATTTGTATGAAAAGTCTTAGATTTATATTCTGTGCCTGACAAATGTCAGTATAGATGCGCAGATGTTTTTAAGTATTCATCATCATCACCATCAATGGCTGGCCCCTTGTGGGCCTTAACCTTCGCAAGTATATTTCGCCATCGCAATCTATCTCGTGTATCTTGGGTCCAACTTCGACCACCTTTTGTTTCGAAGCCCTTGGCAACTCTATCCCACCAACGCAGCCTCGGTCTACCAGGTTGTGAGTTCAGTAAGCGCCTTGGTGCTGTCGTCCGCGTTCACATATCCCAACAACTGCCCTGTTGCATTATGAATTGGATGACGTTGGCGTTTGCATACTTAATGTAAATTGTCAACACGTCACTTGGACAGATTTTGGATAATGGAGGGAAGTTCACGCGTACGTTATAATAAACCTAAAACAACTTCTGCGCTTTAGTTGTTGTTCGCTATACGCGCTGCTAGAACTTTATCGAATGGTATTCCTTTATGACTCTCATCCCTGAGGTCGTAGATTCAAACTCCGGCTGTGCACCAATGGACTTTCGTTCAATGTCATTTAATATTCACAAAATTCAGGAAAACATCGTGAGGCCTTAGGTCCAAAAAGTCGACGGCGTGTGTCAACTACTTGCCTACTACTTATCTAATAGATTGTCAAATTATCATGAAACAGACATAGAAATATGAGGCCCAGACCTAAAAAAGGTTGCGCACTGAGTTATTTATTTCAATTCCTTTATGTAGCATGTTCGTTAAACATCTATAGTTATTTTAGGGATATTTATAATTTAAGATTTTTATGAGGAGTTTGAGCTTTGACTTTTTACCAGTTGGCGGAATATGAATTGTGTCCTCTGTGTTCAAGTTTTTTCCACACAAGAACGTTTTTCCAAATCAAATGCCTTTAAAATAATTTCCGTTGGAATCGAATCCGGGTTCCATAGCCATAATGATGACGCATTATTATTTCAAGCAATAGGCTAAAAATATCGTACAATGAAAGGATTTTAATTTTGAATTAATTAAATTAGGCGGTTTTCCCAGACTTCTATAATTATGGATTATCAACTTTATGTCGTGTCTGGTGAATGTATAATGATGATGATGTAATGTCGACAACCTTATGACCTCTTACAACCGGTCAACTATTGAAATACGTTCGCCTAAAACATTCGGCGGATAAGAGTAAACCAAATTAATAATAATAATAACCACCACGGGAAAAATCCTAAAACAAAGTCAAACTCGTTTATTCATTTTGGTAACATAATGTACACTTATGAACGTCAAAAAAGAAATACATAAATGCTTCAAATTTTACATTTACTGCCAGTTCTTAAATCAAGGGCGTAGAACGGAAGTGAAGAACTGGCAATAAACTCTCCGCCACTCTTTTTAATCGCCAAGTTTTTTGTTTCACACAATGTTTGTAAGGAGTTGCAACCATTACATCATGTTCCACATTACATCATGTTCCACATGACACTTAAGTAATTTATAGTTAATTAATAATAATAAAATAAATTAAAAACAAAGATTTGTCCTTTATCAGCAGGAGGTATGAGAATACGGTGTTATCTATTTGGTCTGTTTTAAAGACTGTGTTAAGTTTTGACACAAAACGGTGATACGCAGTTCTAGTTGCCTATTAAACATTTTTAGGTACCCCATTATGCTTGTTACATGTACGTTTTGGGTCTAAGTCATACTCACGATGTTTAGCTTTACCACGAGTAAGTGCTGCGCATACGCAAAGACGAATTAATTACTGCACCAAAATTTCAACATACAACGTCAGGGTTTCCTACTAGGTCAAAGAAGGTCTTATAAACTTCTCTTATAAGAAGTGTGTACGGTTCCTGGCTCTTCGGGGTGCTTTAAATAATAGAGGATTTTAGTTTTACTCAATATTTTTTTTTTTTTTTTTTTTTAAGGGACCCCTACATCCTAGCCTATCATCATAGCCACGTAATCAGGCAGATTTGTGACCGAGTGGCCAAGCAGCAGGGGAGTGTCAGAATCTCCCCTTTCTTAAAAAGGGACATTATTGTCTTAAAGGGTTGGCGTCTCCCGCCGGGCCCGGGCAAAAACTACTCGAAAATATCGTCATAATATTTATAGGTGAGTCGGGGCCCGCTGCCCGGCGACACCCGCGTTACCTCTCGTGCTATTTTTGTGAGTGACATATCTGACAATCTTGTCGCAGAATTTTTCCAGCTGCGATCTGTGCCCAAGCAACATGTCGGATAGCCCATCCCGGGATACCCTCATGCCAGTCTCGAGATCGCACCTGGCCCTTTCAAAATTCGCACAGTCGACAAGTAAATGAACCACCGTTTGGTCGGTTCTGTCGTCACAGTCACACGCGGGGCTTGTCTTCAGTTTGAGTCTGTGTAAATAGTGTCCAAAAGCCCCGTGGCCAGTCAGGATCTGCGCCATGTGAGGTGCGAAACGCCTTGTCTTGATTTGTTTGTATGCCGCATTTGCATCTTTAAAAAACATTTTTGTGACTGAGGCTGTTTCGCCCCCCACATAGCGCTCGTTCCAGGTGTCTAAAGTCTTGAGTCTTGTCAGTCGTCGCAATACTTTTAATTACTCAATATTAACCACTCGCGTACAACAATAGAATATAAGCGAAATAATGAAATGTTAATTGCTTTGTAACGAATGAATGCAAAGTAACAGTCGAAGATAGTGCCTTCGACTGGCTGTACTCTCGGGGCGTAACTCCGACGATTCAAGAAATCGTTACGCTTATAAAACTAAGAAAGCCCGAGTGAGCAAAATGTACAGCCTTTATATTACAGCTTTGCGATTCTGTAACTCACTTTTCGAACTCTCAATAAAACGAAACTACAAGCTCCCCCCTTATCAGAATGCCAAATCGTAAAATGACTGCTTCACGACTGATTTGAGCGCGACCGCCGCGCCGCTGCGAAAGCCGCTGTGAGAGTTCGAAAAGTGAGTTACAGAATCGCAAGGCAGTACAATATTAGATTACACACAAAGTTACTGAAATAGTATCTAACACGTAGTAGTAGCATTATTTAATAAAGTTAGATGTATATATGTTTTATAGTAGGAGAATCTAACGCTTTTTCAACTTATAAAATCACTATTATCTAGCGTCTCACACATAATTTTATTTTCCATCCGTTCATATAAAAACTGAATAATATATTGAATAAGACATCCTTGGGCCCCAATTTAAAATTTCGTCATCTCAGACATATAGGCGACTATATAAAATTAATTAAAACTGGAAAATACAAGACCACCTTTTTCTAGTAATTATAAATCGCGAGAACAAGTTTTGTTGCCATATTCAAACGTGCTTACAATAAACATCAAATTTGTCCAAATAAAAGTCCAATATCTCGGTCGCTACGCTACATTTACATTGTGTACAAGCTTTTGGTGGTACGTAGGGCGAATTTTTATACTGAATACTTCAGTAAGCAGCTGGTTCCACATAGTGGAAGTGCACGGCACAAACTGCCTTAAAAACGCTCAATTGTGGAACGATCTATGAAACTCAGCTGCAGGTATTAATCCGAACAATTCCTCTGAACACTTTTCACGGTAAAGGCAGTAAGTTCTAGTGTAGCTCCAGGATCGCTGACAGAAGTATCAAATGAATAGATCACATAAAATAATTTTAAATTTTCTGATTGTACTGAAGTATCCACTTATTTAATAAGTAACAAAAAATTTAAATGGTGGCATGATTTTTTTACTATTAAAATGTTCTATCGCTTTACCAAATCTAGCTAACACATGCTAATGAGATTTTATCGTGTTATTAAATCAATTAACAGCAAATCTAATTAATACGTGTTGGTATTTAGGTAATCCAGTTGAGGTGATAAATCATTGTCAAAAAACCATTTTGGTGAAAAACTTTTTTGTAAATTTATAATAATTTTTTAGGTTAGAGATCTTTGGACGTAAGACAGGCGTTCGACTGCCAACCACAATGTCTAAGACTAATTTTAAGTTGTTTTATTAATACATATTTGTTTTTGTAGCTGGTTTTATTAATAATTATTGTAAATGGTTGATTATTTATATTTGTTTATAATAGAAATCCAGAATTATTATACACAATAATACTTGTATTTTTTTCTATAATTAGTTCTTTTGCAATAGTTATAACTGTAATACTAGAAAAATTGTTATAAATAACTTGTATTTGGCGTGAAGATTCATGTAGTCCTACCAAATTTTGATTAATTGTAGATGACCCATTAAACTTCCTTTTCCACTACTTTTTTTAACAATATGTAAATTGTAATCGTGACGAAACAATTCACTAATTTGTTAAGTATGGATTCTTAATTTTTAAGATATCAAACGAAGAACCCTGCCTTATGTGTCTGCGAGCCACCAACCAATTCTTTATGGACAATTATTATAAAAATAATTTCAGTTGCTCAGTCAAGTCAAGCTAACAGTTACCTGCTATCGACTTCTCTTGACAATAACATGTCAATAAATTACCAATATTTACACGGAAAAAGTGGACACGGACAAATCTTTAAAACACGTTGTATAAGTCTCTGTTTAAATTCGTGTCCTTCACCGGTACATATGATATGACAAAAACAAAATGGACCCTAAATATCACCTAATACACGTGACCACTAGATGGCAGTGAAACACGTGCGTTCATTAATTTTTATTATCTATCCTCCGGTAGGTAATTAGGAGTGGACATTTTAATATTCCATTAATTAACTGGTTTAAAATTTTGGTATTGATAATTTAATTTCACTTAGAAAACTGGTACATATAAATTTCAAAGTCATTAGCAAATAGCTTTTTTAGTAATCGCAAGGTGGCGTTTTTTTTGTATGCGACGGGTTTTAGGTTTGCCTTAATTAAATGCTTAATATTAGTGACAATTGTGTGTTAAGACACGACTAACAATTAAACCTATAGTATTGGCCTAGTAGCTAGAGCGTGCAGCCGTAGGTTCGATCCCCGATCGAACGCTCGAACAGGGAAGGGAAACATCGTGAGGAAACCACCTTGCCTTAGACCGATTTCGACGGCGTGTGTTAGGCACAGGAGGCTGATTATATATTCTACCAGATAGCTTACCATAATCACTTTCATGGTCTCCTGTCTCAGGATCTCGCTTGATGATGACATGCTGAGCCCCTTGAAGCTTCTTTTGCAATTCTTCTTGGGCGCTCTTATTTCTCTTAACTAAAAACAAATTAAATTAATATAAAGTATCTTATATTATAAAAAAATATTTTTCTTATCTTTCAATAATATATTAAAACTGTTTAGCAAATCATGAATTACATTACAATTCGTATTGTTTTTTTATAGAAAATATTTTAATTGAAATTATGAAGAAATAGTTAACAGCACAGATTATAATAAAATTTTTATAATTATTAACAATTGAATGTTCAAAACGGTCTCAAAAATCATATTATTGATTAAATTAAAAAGCATAATACCTAAGGGCAATCCTGTGTCAATGGAAACCATATCAGCCATGCTACTCGGGTCCAGGAACAATTCGTCGTCAGGTGCTGTTATAGAATCAGGGATAGGCCTGATTACCAGGTCGTGACCGATGGAGCCTTCCTGCAAAATTGTTTAAGGTTTTTAAAATCATTAAACTAAAGCTATATTATCCAATAATAATAGCGCACATAAGGCGTTGTTCCTAGGTTTGTTTACCGGCGAAACAATAATAATTTGTATTAGCGAAATAAAGTTCTATGGTTGATAAAAACAAGTGCCCATTATGCAGCGTTGACTATCATGTGACATTCCGTAACCCAGGCATGGGGCAGACGCTTTTCAACCGACTTGTAAAAAGGTTACTCAATTCGACCGTATACTTTTTTACGTGTTCGCGGATAACTTCGTTTATGAGCCGATTTTGATGATTTTATCGTTGGAAAGAAGAAATCCCAAGGTAGGAAACCAGGATCTGATGGTTGAACATCAGAGAAATCGAGGGTTACCTTCGAAAACTTTCTTGCAATCGGTGTTTTTTTGTTAATAATTCTGTGTATTATTTAAAATTTTACATGAAGTCTGTGTATTTTTGGAAATTTTTGTGTTCTTTTGGATGAAAAAGATGCCAATTTCCCTACCGTTTCGGTTTGTACGTTGAGATTTGCTCGATTAACTATCACGCTAACTGCTCTATACCATAAATAATAAATTAATTGAAGTCACGTATATGATCTGCATCATACAATATCCATACAACATGAAACAATGGCCCGCAAGTGGATTAAGGACAGTTGCGAAACACACCACAATGCCGGGAAAATATTACTTGGCCATTGTGTATCATATGACCACGAATAACGTTTAGCAACGGAAATTAAATATTATCTGTGGCTTGTCTACAGTACAAATAAAAACTCTTTGCTTTAAAACTTTTTACAATACGTACGTGGGCGTCAGTAAATAATAAAATAAATTCAAAGATAAATCCGTTAAGTATTATTTATATGTGAAATATTTGGACAAATATTTAAGTTTTTGCTAAAAACGAATTTTCCCCTTGTAGAATTTAAATTTTTTTTGAAAATTTAAAAAAAGGGCGCGTGTACTTATGTACGCGCGTAAGAAGTTATACTTCTTTAGCATTATTAAAAATAGTTTTTGATTGCATGCAAATAATTAATAACAATTAAATAATCAAAGACTGGAAAAGGAGTCATTATAGTCAGTAAAGTTCATTTGAAAAATTAAATAAATAAATATTTATTATTATTCTCTTACATTAAGTGTAACATAAATTATATTATTATTCGAATGTTGTTTTTAAATTATGTCCAATGCCGTAGCATCTCTCGTAGGCAACTTCATTCTGTTAATTTTGTGTCACGGTGCGCGCGCATCGTAAAATTTCACTCTCATAAATTTTTCATAACGCACCTAAAGAAGAACTTCAAAAAAACAGTTCCCCTATTCCACAATTAATTTTTTCGGCCTTTGACAATCTATTATTTAATAGATAATGTAAAATATATTATCACATAGAGATCATAAACATATAGACTGTTATATTGTAAAAGGATTTCTATATTACGTTTGTGATTCTAGTCATGTCTAGGTAATCCCGCGTATCGCGAATGACATTCCCAACTTGACATTGACACGTGCAACATAAACATTTTTAAATCTTTAATGGTATATTTGTGTTGGTATGTATGTTGTACGAGCTTTACGAGGCTTTGCTAGTCGATTTGATGATTAAAACATGGCTGTCCAATCCATTGTTTGCGACAAAATTTAATTCGTTACCGTATCGCATTGATAACAATATTAGCACAAGTATGTTTGCAGGTCTGATTTGAAGATTTAACTAAGGAAAATAGTTGTGAAAACTAAACGAAATTACGATAAATTGAGGTATATTATACTAAAAAAGTGTGTTTTAGCAGTATATTTTAACAATACAATTTGTACTTTTATATGAAACTCAAAATTGGATTGATTTCAATTTTTTTCTTTAAAGTTATCCCTGAATAACATAAGGTAATCTATTCTTATTTTTAAAATATTTTGCAAAGCCGTGCGAAGTAATTCATAAAACGTCATTTTAATAATTTTATGTATAAATTCAACTTACCACAACGAGTTTTCCATGCTTCGGGTGTCGTCTGATCAACAAAGCAGCTCCGTTCTCGTCATCATGATATAATTCACCCAGGTCTTCTTCGCCTTCCTAAAAAGACATGTATTATTAATGTATGTAACTCATGAAAGTACTGAACTACAGAGTAAAAATATAACATTTTTCAGATTAACTAAACTAAGGGTCTGTTTCACAATAAGGATAAGTTCTACATAAGTTCCCAATAAGCTATTTATTACTTATTGGTAGGATAAACACTATTGTTGCGTTTCACGACTGTCAGATAGCGCTAATCGTCACATAAAGTCCATCATAAGTTATGAGTCCGATTAATGTCAAATAGCACAATTTATCTTCCAAATAATTTATGTGTTGCATAGCTATTTGGTACTTTATCCATACACTGTGAAACGGACCCTTAGTATGTCAAAAACCTTACCAAATACTTTTACCTATAATTGTTTATTTAAATTTAGATTTTAAGGTTTTAAAATACCAATTAAACCCGTACGAAGATTTTAAATTTGAAAGCCTCAAACAATAGTCGGAAACTGTAAAGGTTGTATTGTTCGTAGATATTCTGTTGTTATATTTGAAAATGCAATTGCATACAATGTAGAAAATTGTTTTCTCACTATGACGTGAAGTGCATAGTTATTTGCCTGCATTATGAATAACTGAAATGGATTGTCAATATGGTAAAATATGTTTATACATGTCGAGGTTGTGATGAAAATGGTAATCACTCTTTTTTAAGTACATATTTTATTTTCACATCTCCCAATTTTTATATTCTTTCGTAACTACGTATTTTAATTTCATTTCATTTTACAAAGACGTAAACCAAATATTACACGAGCAATGCAAAATCAAAGTATAATTAATTCATATTAATACATATAAATATATAAATAATCAAATCAATGTTAATATTTTATTCGTGAATTGCTATTAAAATTTGGTAGCCATTTTTATTTATCCTTCATATGATGTCGTCCTACGTATTAGTGTAGCACCAAAACTGTGATAAAAAAATATTTTGGGACCTCTATATGGACCTCTTAGGAAACTTTTATTTTAAATAATTTTTACGTAATTTCAATCTTCTGTCATCGTTATTTTTTTGTCCCCTATTCCCTACTCTGTCCCCAACTGAGAAGGCAAGTCATTTATTAACCTAGTCCTAGGTATTGTTACATTTTTGGGCGTGAACATACCTTTCTCGTTCATACCGTGGGAATGACAACATCGTGAGTTAAAACCAGCCATTAACTAAGATTTCAAACTGTGTATATGCGGTTAGAAAATACATGTAATAAGTGTGAACCACAGGATTTAATTTGTTAATAAGTGACTAAGCTTAAAAGATAATAAAACGTCGTTACTATTGCAAGGGTGATGTTGTTATTAATGTAAAAACCGCGTCAAATTATGACGCCATCTTTGATTTGTTATTTAAATTTTTAAATTAAGTTAAATAACGTAACTATGGTAACAAATAACTACCCATAATAAAAGCCGAAAACGGTTTATAAAATAATAGAGACGCGACTTATCATTATGACTTTCGTGTGTCAATATCTTTTTGTCAAACCCGTTGTGTCAATTTATGGTTGGATCATTATTACATTCATTAATATTCACTCTAATTGACATTGACGCTTTAGTAATTTACTTCAGTTCTTTTGCGAGTTCTCTGCTCTTTCTTTTTAGTAATTACTATTCTGTTTTTGTACACGTCATTAAATCCCTAAATATAAAGGGTGTCTCAGCGCCGATTTAAACTTGAAATATTTATATTAAAGAAAACGTATTTTTAATATTATAATTGCAGTACAATATTAGTGCGGAATTATGTATGGAATATAACACCGTCAAGATGTCTTCCATCACGGTGAATGCACTCTTCAAAGCGGACTAGCGAATTTCTCTGCAATTAAAGTCTCTGCAAATTCACTAGTCCGCAGAACACAACTGATATGGCTATCACATCTGTCGTTATTTTTAAGTGCTTAAAATTCGTAAGAGAGACATAAACTCTGGCTTTGAGATAACCCCATAACAAAGTCAGCTGGGGGATCTGGGTGGCCACAATATGACTCCAAAGCGACTAATGATATAAATAAACACATTCAGTATAAACACAATAAACTCAAAATTAGCGAAAGTATAGTACAATACAGATTTCGCTATGGTTATATCGTTGTTGAAGAGTTCGCATAAAAATTTGCCAAAACAAAATATCGACGTGGGCGACACTGCAGCCGGAGTATTTGATTATTGCATAAACTGTCAAACTGTTTTTGAATAAGCTTATTAATAATTTTATAGCACTTAGTATTTATCAATGTCTTTACTCTGTGTTCGGTAATAAAGTATAGAGACATAGAGTTTGAATTCTGGAATGCGGATTTGGTGACGGAGCCTAGCTCGAATTGGACATTGCGAAAATACAATTTATATGTTGTTATGGGTGAAAATATTCGTGCTATTTTCATGTGATATATTTATACATTATGAAAAAGTCCAACAAGGACTTGGAATAAATTCCTTATATAAGTTAAACATATATTTTCATTTTTCAATTGTTGTAATGCTTTGTAAGGAATAAACACGTTTTTTATTTATTTATTGATCTTTATGTATATCTTCTTGTGATTGTAATTAAACTCCCCCTAAACCGATTTTGATGATTTTTGGTGTGTGTGTTCAAGATTTACTCTCTGTTAAGTTTGAAATTTTTATATTTAAGACGTGTGTACTGTGTACCTCTTTTTTATAGAACAGGGACACTGTCAATGCCAAAAATTGCCGGCTTTTTAAGAATTAGTGCGTTTTCTTTTTTGAAGGACTTAAAGTCGAATTGGTTCGGAAATACTTCAGCGGGCAGCTGGTTCCACATAGTGGTGGTCAGCAACAAAAACTTCATAGAAAATTTCATTTTCTGCCTCGCCGTCCGATTATGAAACAGTCAGTTCTGGATCCACTAGTATATTTCAGAGATACTTTAAAGTCGTAAATAAGACATTTTGCACTAATAGCTTGGTGTTTTGCACCAGCCGTGCTTCAGAAAAAATGTTTTAGTTTGACTATAATATTAATTATATTAATATTATACTCATATCTCCAATGTACGAACTTATAAAACATTTAAACTAGAATAACATTTTTTTACCAATCTTTAAGCAGGCTTATGATAAGTATTTTTTTATTAAATTCTGTAATGTATAATCCTCAGGCATTGTCGCAGATAATCATGTCACGAATTTGTTTATCAAACATCTTCTATTATCAGAGGGTCACGCACATTGTGGAATTTTTCTACAAAAAACCGTAAGACCGTGATTCGTATGTATGAAGTACCATAGCCAAGTTTCTGTTTCTCGCTCTCTAATATTTTTTCTTTAAAAGCAAGTAAATGTATCAGCTTGAGTGTCTGAGTGGCGTAACAATAGGGTGGCAGGGCTGGCAAAATGCCACAGGCCCTCGACCCAAGAGGCCCCTGCCCAAGAGATATTATGTTCTATGGATGAATTAAGTCTCCAATACGCGTTAGTCTAGCGTGGGGACTACAGACCCTTCCCTCTCGCCTAAGAGAAGAGGCCTATAGCCATTAGTGGGACATATACAACGTTAAACTGAGAAAAGACAATTTTTACTGATAGGGCCCCACCAAAAGAATTGCCACGAAAGAAGATTTGCCACGGGCCCCAGATGGTGTAGTTACGCCACTGTGTCTGAGATATGCCATCAAACAAGTGATGTTTCTGCACTTAGAACGTACAATCCATTTCTACATAGGGTTCAAATACACTAAGAATATGTTAAATACTTAGCACAACTAAATACTAAGATAACACTGATTAGGAATCCAAAAATGTTCGGTTTTGAAAGTTGACAATCTTTGCTGTTAATAACGTAAAGTATTTGATTTTAGATTAGAGCCGTGTTGGCCTACTGGCTTCAGCGTCCTCTCATCCCTGAGGTCGTAGTTTTGATCCCCGGCTGTGTACCAATGGACTGCCCTGCGATTCTGTAACTCACTTTTCGAACTCACACAGCGGTTTTCGCATCGGCGGTCGCTCTCAGCTTGTAGTTTATAGTCTATCAGAATGCCAAATCATAAAATGACTGCTTCACAACTGATTTGAGAGCGACCGCCGATGCGAAAACCGCTGTGTGAGTTCGAAAAGTGAGTTACAGAATCGCAGGGCTGTTCTATGTGCGCATTTAACATTAGCTCGAACGGTGAAGGAAATCATCGTGAAACCTACTTGTCTTAGACCCAAAAAGTCGACGGCGTGTGTCAGGCACAGGAGGCTGATCACCTACTTGCCTATTAGATTGGTAAAAGATCATGCATTTACTAATCAAGGCAATAAATCTGAGGCTCAGACCTAAAAAGGTTGTAGCGTCACTGATTTATTTTGTTATTAGATTTTAGAGTTATGTAATTTTGGTTTTATACTTAAAATTTAATTTTAATAGCATCAAAATAACGTTATACGTACGTAGATCAAAATAAACAATTCATAATAATAACTCATTTAACCTTTAAATTAATTGCAATTATGTATGATTTAAGCTTAATTAAAATTCTCGCTTATTCTGTTAAGAATCATAATATATCTATATTTATTCATTGGTATTAAATATTGCATCAATATAGTAAATAATAAACCCGCTTCAACCGAACACTTCTAAACTGATCGCAAAAGACCACACGGGTAATATTTAACTGGGAAGTATAACTTCAATTTATAATTTCACTAGCTGATCCGGCAAACGTCGTTTTGCCATGTATATTATTTATAAAAAAAAAATAGGGGTTGATCGTAGAGGGGTGAAAATTAGGGGTTGTTTGTATTTTTTAATGCTGTATCATAAAAAAAAAAATGTATCTAAAAATTAAAAAAAAAATTTAGGGGTGGACTACCCTTAACATTTAGGGGGATGAAAAATAGATGTTGTCCGATTCTCAGACATACCCAATATGCACACAAAATTTCATGAGAATCGGTCGAGCCGTTTTGGAGGAGTATGGCAACGAAAACTGTGAGAAGAGAATTTTATATATTAGATTAAATAATGTAATGTTCATTCACATTGCAGAGGAAAATCCTACAATTAAATACATTATAATCATTATTGGCAATTATTGTAGACAATATTCATGTGGCTTCCTGTTTATGTATTATTTTAGACATCAAAGTGACGTCAGATAAAAATAACATGGCTATTCAATTGGAAGTGTATAGGTACTTTATAATATATTCTTCACCACCGTATAACAGATTAATATTATGTTCTAAATAACAGATTAATAAATGTAAATGCTAAAGAGTGTCTGGTTGTCGGCGTGTAATTCCGATGATTTAAATTTCCTAAATCGTCGGAGTTACGCGTTATAAAATGAAGAAAATCTGACTGAGCAAAAGGCATACAAGCCTTCACGGTCTTTGCTACAGAAGAATTTAAAAATAATTTTGTTTCATATGATATGGAAAGAGTAATTTTCGACGACATCGTTTAGAGCAATATACCGGTTATATTGACCAAAATCAAAGGTCCCGGCTAAAGTCTATTGTATTAGGGACTTGAAAACAACGTCATCGGCTGTTACGACTATCGGTTTTTACGACCAATATGAGTAGTCCCTTCGATGTCGTTATAACAAATGTTGTATCTGTGATAAAAGAGTCAATCTTTTGTTTTTTTAAGCACAAGGATTTACATTTTTGTATCGTAAGAGATATACACAATTTCTTTTATAAATGAAATTAATAATCACGTACTTTGTACGAATTATTATTTTGCTATCGTTTCTAATTATTAATTAAATTGTGCATAATGTATATACAAAACTACCAACATGCGATCAACCAAACTATTTCACAAATTAAAAAAAGCAAAAATTTTATTTTTATATTTTCCATATTTTGTAATACAGGAAACAATTATGTAAGAATTATAAAATCATTTCCGAATGAATACAATGGATCTATTTCTTTACATTTGCATAGGGAAATGATCTACAACTTTACATTTGTTCACGTCAATCAAACATTACAAATACTTGCCATTATATAATTGTTTTACTTTTAGAACTTATCTAATCATATAAAATTATCGTGTCACAATGTTCGTTCCCATACTCCTCCGAAACGGCTCGACCGATTCTTATGAAATTGTTTATGCATATTCAGTAAGTCTGAGAATCGGATATTATCTATCTTTCAAACCCCTAAGTGATAAGGGGTGTCCACACCAACATTTTTTATTTTATTATTCAGTTTTTTTTTTGTTTTTTTTATGATAAAGCATACAAAGATACATACAACCCCTAATTTTCACCCCTCTACGATCAACCCCTATTTTTCATTATTGTAGATAGTTATTTTTATTGAACTGAAAAAATGTTTCCTAGAAATAATATACATGGCAAAACTAACGTTTGCCGGGTCCTGGTATGTACGACAAGGCTTACATTCGACTTCACCAGCCACGGTTGCCTTGTATATTCTACTTGTAAGCTTTTCATTCATTTGTTCTACATTGTCTATCCACCTAAGCATTCCCTATAGTATCCTTGACAGGTGTAATAAACAAAAGCAGTGGGGCTACAACCTCTAAGTTTTGGCCTAAGATTTCTGTATCTGTTTTTTAATAAACAAATAGCCTTCCGTGTCTGAAACACTATATCAACATGTAAGAGTGAGTGTGAGTTCATATAGAAACAAAAGTGCATTAGTGCACAGACGTGATTCCAACGCACGACCTCCAAGGTTGAAATACACTCAAGCCACTAGACCAACTGCTTTGTGTCACAACAAACTTGTTGAAATATGAGTCACAATTAAATGCCTGAAATGTCCGAACAGGGCGTGTTTGATGTCGCAAGGCCGAAGGGACTTTAGCTACACAAGTAGCATAAATTAAATACAATTTATTAGTGCCATGATTGATGGTTGCTGCTGCTAATCGATTCATAACAAGTTAATTAATAAACCAAGCACTTATGACTATCAAATGATTTAGTCGATTGGAAAGCATTACTTGTATTATTTATATACAAACACAGCAAGACAAATGAAAAGTTACATGAACTTTAATTGGTTTGGCCTTGAATATAGATAAAATATACAATAACAGAACAAAAGATACTCATAATATAAATCTCTGAGAGATAAATTCAAGGAAATTAATAAACTTACCTTTCCCTCGCAATGTATTTATGAAAATATTATGTATGTATACAAAAATAGTGATAAGTTTACTAGAATAAAACATACGCACATTGTTAATACTCGGAACAAACGCAGGCTGCAATTTCCCCGTACTATACTATCTAAAGTTAGTAATCCTTTTTTGGGAAAAGGGATACTCTTCTTTAATAAAATCCCAGAGACGCTTGTATAAAAAAGTGATTTAATCTTTTTAGCCGTATATTGACATTGCACATATGTACCAACTAAGACTTTTGAACATTAACATACTAATTACTTATATAATAAATGGGTAAGTATTACAAAAATTACACAATAAAGTTCTCAGAAAATCTATGTACGTGGGAAGCTTTCACCTATGATGAGCGCATTTTTTGCATTCCAAAGAACAATTGAAAACCTATGCACAACGGTATATGCAATTATGGCTACTAACACATTGAAATAAGAGATAAAATGGAGATTTCTCTGGGTTTTCAAGTTTCGCTTTTCAGTGCCATATGGATATTAGAAAAGTTAAGTCTCATTAGAGCCATTCATTTGTGAAAACAATTAATGTCACTTCTTATGGGTTAATTAATGATTTAATAGTGATTAGTATGTAAAATGACATTAACAATAGTTTTAGAAAGTTTTTTTTTAATTTTTTGTCCCTCGTTAGATTTGTATGGCATATATTATATCACTTCGTTACCATGGTAACGATGTTTATTGTCTACGTTTATCAGCTGTTTTTTCAGGACGTTAATTAGATATTAATTATTCTGTAACCTAGAGAATCTCTAAAACGCTGAAAGTGGAAATGGGTTTTTTTGCTTGGATTGCTTAAGTCTTAGCAGGGGCTACAATTTAATGGCATAACCACCAAAAAAGCATGGTGGATTGGTGTTCTCCTGCCGTTTCTCTTGAATAGTTTACTACTATGTAATATAACAAAAATCTCTAGTAGATATATAAAACTCTCGTGTCACAATGTTCGTTCCCATACTCCTCTGAAACGGCTCGAGCGATTCTTATGAAATTTTGTATGCATATTCAGTAAGTCTGAGAATCGGCTACTATCTATCTTTCAAACCCCTAAGTAATAAGGGGTGTCCATCCCAAAAAAAAAAATTTTTGTTTTTATTTTGCTTTATGATACAACATACAAAAATACATACAACCCCTAATTTTCACCCCTCTACGATCAACCCCTATTTTTATTATTGTTGATAGTTATTTTTATTGAACTAATGTTTCCTAGAAATAATATACATGGCAATACAAACGTTTGCCGGGTCAGCTAGTATCTCAATAAAAATTAAAACTTACCGTAACCATCTCCTCATAGTCCACACCATGGGGCTGTGACTCATTCGTCAGTGCCTTCCACATCCTTAACCCGTCCTTCTTCAGCAAACCCTCCTGCCTCCTCAACACGAGGTTCAACGTCTTCCCGAACGCCTCCAATTCAATTTTGTGCACATCACTATCACTGTCACTTAAATTCGCATCAAACTCTACACTCACTGTATCATTTAAATCACCAATCTCCTCTTTGATAGCATCTCTTGTTTTGGCATACATTTTCTCGTTCGTATCAGCCTTTTCGTGTGGGATCTTCTTAGATGATGTGTGGGCGTTTAGGTGTGGGATGTACCGCCTGGCCATGTGGTGTAAGTGGACGAGGTGGTAGGATGGTACCAGGCTTTGATGTTCCACGTGGAAGAGGCTTCGGAGCTCGTCGGTTGTCATGTGCTCGTGTATCTGTAAAGATGGAAACACTTTAGTTAACACTTTAAATTTTTAATATATTTAAATTATACGTCACGTTGTTTGTCCGCTATGGACTTCTAAACTACTTAACCGATTTCAATAAAATTTGCACACCGTCTGCAGTTTGATCTAACTTAAAAGATATGATAGCTTACATAATATATATAATTCTATTGTACGTGTGTATGTCACTGAACTCCTTTTCAACTGACGGACCGATTTGAATGATTTTTTTTTGTATGTGTTTCGGTGGAGCCCTTGATGGTTTAGATTCACAAATCAGCCCGGCACATGACGCTGCAGTCGGTACTTTCATACTTTGTTTAATATCCTAATCGCTTGAAATATCATGAAGGGCAACGTCTCTCAGGTCCGCTAGTTAATATATAAATACATTTTATTTATTTATCTTGTAAATAATTATACTAATTACTCGAGTCTTGGAATTGATTTTAATAATAAATTAAAACTTTATTGATGACAAATAGGTGATAAAATTCATATATCGCTAGTACACCCATACTAAGGAGTCCCTGTGTTGTGGGTAACTAGATAACAATTAATCCGTGGTACATGGTATATATTTAAAACAGAAAAGAAAAAGTTGGTTTAGTGTTACAACTAATCAAACACAAGTCTTATAAGACATGAAGTATGTGTGAGTGTGTGTGTGAATGAGTGTGTGTGCATGTATTTGAGAGTGTAGCTAAGAGTTATTATAAGTGTGCGCTGTCTGTGTTAGTTTTTGGCACCTCAGAGTCATGTCAATATACGTATAGGCCTCTGTAGATTCCAATTCAGCTAGCGTAAGTTTTATATGATTTGTGAGTTTGTATCTGGATAGTTTTAGATTAGTTGTAGATTTTGTATGTTTCATTTGAATAAGATTTAATTGATTAATACAATTGTCTATTCATTATTTACCTATACATGTGATACATAACATTAAACAAAATATTGGTTAACGAGCGACAAAGAAAAATTAATTAGTTTAACATTAAACATATAAATACAATTAAATTGAAAATAAAGTAAAAAATGTATTCAAAGTTGATGACAAAATAAAATTCGGTTTTTTGCATAGCAGTAATGTTTTTATTTTTTATAATACCACAAATCCTTACTTAGACAAGAAACCCGGCAGTCATTTAAAAACTTATTATAAATCCTATTTTGACGGTTTTAACTAAAGAGTGGGTACTCATCTCACAGAGTACACACAATATAATGTATAAGTGCTAAAGAGTGCGTTGATGTCTTTTGTTTGAGTAAACGTTGTGTTTGTAGAGCTGTTTATTCCGAGGAAAATTTGTATGTTTGTAACGAATAACCTCGAAATCCGATTCTAATCTTTTAACGAAAATTGCTGTATATGTGTATGTATATTGCTATAAAGTAAAATTTCCTGTTACAAGTTAGGTAAATTGTCACATAACATTGACTTCGCTACCCATGAACCCATAGTTCTATACAGAGTTTATTGCCAGATCTTCTCGTCCGTTCTACGCTCTTTATTTGAGAACTGGCAGAAAATTTAAAATTAGAAGAATTTATTATGTATTTCTTTAGTGACGTTCATAAGTGAAGATTGTGTTACCTAAATGAATAAATGATTTTGACTTTGACAGAGCCGTAACTAAAGAGGGTTAATCAGAAACAAGACCATGAGCGATTAATGACTCCCGTTTGTCAAAATCCAATACATTTTGACGTCAGACTCGTTCTGAATACGTTATTAAAGGAAATAAATAAAATATTATACAAAACCCCGGAAATATTAAATGATTAAGCCTTGAACACGGGAAACCCTTTTCTTATGCATCGAAACTTGATAATTCAAAAATTTATTCAAAATTAAATTACCCTATAAACTGTTAAGATAACAGTTAGTTAATAGCTTGTTTGATAGCTTAATTTTGCAATATTAAGATAAAGGTTATCAAATATTTGAATTATTTTACTAATCGATCAAACACTCTATATAACTTCATTAAATCTTGTTAACACAGGTCGAAACATGTCGTGGAGGCTAGAGACAACGAATTATGAACTGAGTTACATAATACGTTGTCTCTAGCCTCCAAAAATCTTTTTTAATACATTGAAGTCAGTACCTGACTTTAGTAGGTCGTTAAATTGATCTGGGTCTTCGAGTATATTGTAGCGAGTGTTTTGTGAGCGAGAAACCCTTTCTAAGATCATGGAAGTCAAGATTAGAAGCATCATTTATTATATATAAGTGTATATGTATAAGGAATATCCTTAAAGTATATTTTTAAGTAAAATAGCAGTTTTATGTGACTCTCATCCCTACGGTCATAGGTTCGATCCCCAGCTGTGAACCAATGGAATTTCTTTCTATATAACATTCCCTCGAACGGTGAACGATAACATAGTGAATCGGCTTGCCTTAGACCCAAAAAGTCGACGGCGTGTGTCGGACACAGGAGGCTGATAACCTGCTTGCATATTAGATTGACAAATGATCATGAAACAAATACAGGAATCTGAGGGCCAGACCTAAAAAGATTGTAGCACCACTGATTTTTAAAAATATATTTTTAGGTACGCAGTACCTGCCGACATAGTATGAAATATGTAAACAGATTAGATATATTTTATTGACAGGTGCTAAGAAAAAGTTATTCGTCATCGCAAAACCATTAAATCAGTAAAAGTGACAAGCAAATATTGAATGAATACATTATTCTCAAAGTTAAAAACACAGATTTACCCACGAAACAATCCGTACTCAATAGCTATTAGTGGAAGTATTACTACTTGAAAGCTACTTCTTGTAGTATCGTTATATAATTTAAACAATGGAGCATAGACATGTGGAAGCTAGAAAGACAATTAATGATTTCTAGTACGAAATGTTCATTTCAAATTGATTTTGTAATGTTCTTAGAATGTTAAAATAAATAAAAATAAGTAAGCAGTACATTCGTAACATTACTTACGGCCGTAATACTAGCAGTAAGTCACCGCGAATGTCTTTTGTTATTATTTATATTGTATGTGTATGTTGTGTGTACCGAGTCAATAATAAACTTTAAATATAATATCAAAAGGCTATTTAAATCAAGTCTCCCACTCCATACATTACACGTTTATTAAACAAAAAACCTCAATTGATTAAAGTATTAACTAAAGTTGTATGACATTGCAAATTTGAATTTAAATTCTCTCCATCTTCAACCGGTAGCTCATGTCTGAGCGCCGTGGTCAGCAAGGAAACATCTGGAGCGGATAATCTGCTTCTACCGGTTCCTGTCCAGCACCTCTATTGTAACAGTGTATAGTTTTGAGGACGATGAGTCTTTCAATTGATGGTTGGTTCACGTGATCGTTTGCCAACCACGATCAGTTTATCATCGCCTCTGCGCATGGTATGGCCGAAATTAATTTAAAAGAAAGCAATGACTAAGCTTATTCTACGCTAAATTTTCTAATTAATATACAACATAATTTATATTAAAACGACATTAAAGTTGTTTTTCTTATTTCAATTGCTTATAATTTAGTTTAAGTCTTGCAATCATTTATGCCCAAAGATTTTGTCATTGTATTTTAGTCTTTTGTTTTGTTGTAATCCTCATATTAGCTTATACATAGTGATTTTGAGACCAAATCTTTGTTGGTATAAGTTTTGGCAAGAACATCTGTAGTGCTAATTTAAGTTATTTTTTTTTAATGTAATAGAGGCAAACAGGCAGGCGGCTCATCTGATGTTAAGTGATACCGCCCATGGACATTGCCAGAAGGCTCGCAAGTGCGTTGCCGGTCAAACTTAAACATAGTTTTAATTGACTACATTTGTTGAAACATTGAAAGATACGGGTAAACTGCTCATCTCTAAGTTTAATACTTTTCAAGGCAGCTGCCCACTGAAGTATTTCCGAACCAATTCGACTTAGGGTCCTTTAAAAAAAGAGCGTACAAATTCTTCAAAGGCCGGCAACGCACTTGCGAGCCTTCGGGCAATCTATGTGTCCATGGGCGGCGGTATCACTTAACATCATGTGAGCCTCCTGCCCGTTTGCCTCCTGTTACACTAATGTCTCTGCTGTATTACTAATGTAACTAGTTTTTATGTCTGCCTATATTCTATGAGAGAGATGTTTGTGTCACTAACAATGTTTATCCTTGTAAAAAGTCACTGGTCAGCCTTTGAAATTCCTTACAAATCGGAAGTTACCTCCCACAACGAGATAGCATATCACATGCATTCGATTTTGACATTTATCTTAATGGAATAATGAATAAAATCGCGTGAAACGGCAATCATGTTAGATGTTAGCCTCGCTCGCATTATGTAAGGTTCATTGCAATGTAAAATGGAGCTAAAGGTATTAATATGATCTCAAAAGATAAGTTGTGCAATGGTATTTCGGTAATTGATTTTAACTTTCTAAATGTTAAACTTATTCTTGATCCGTAAATATGGCTCGAACAATTATTTTGTTTAATGTATAATTTATTTGTAAGAATATGGTACAAAATAATGGTGGTACAATCTAAAGTTCGCATTTGCCACACATAATAGCGTGCATGTTTGTCTTAAAAGGTAGAATAGATGTTACTAACATTGTGAGTTATAGAATAATAGTCAATACTTATATTATTTTATCATTACATCATCACATTATTAAAATATGTTACTTCACGCAATAATCATTAACATATTACTCGTAATACATAAAAGTAGTACATTAAGAAAATGTTAAAACTCCAGAAGAAATCTTTGATATAAATATAAAACAATCATTTCTTTAATTAAAATATGTGCATGGCATGATATGTTGCTATGTTGCTGGACCAATTCGAGTTCGTTTATTCACTACTTGAACTTAAAGGTTTTTATGAGAAAAATTGGAAAATATGATATATATTGTTTTATTTCGGAAAAGCGAACAGTTTCTATAGGGTAGCAAAGCAATATGAATAAAACACTTTTGACCGGATTGAAGTTATGT